CACCGGGCAATTGTTGAAACAAGGTTGCGAGTAAGGAACAAGCCTGTAGCCAATGGGATCTGAGTAAATACCTGAGGCTTGTCAATGTGTATGCCAGGATGAGGTGAACTAGTATGGGATGGAGAATTGGATCGATCAATTATTGTCATTGCCCTGATGTGAGATATGTGCTTGATCTTTAAATCCAAGCCATCTAGAACAAAAAATTCCAACTTTGCCAAATAGATGGACAATGTCCCATTACGTTTTGGAGCACACATGTGAGTTTAACACTGGCTAGACATTTGTTAAGGAAGCAATGTTGGTCGGGTCATCTACTGTCATGTTGTTTCCAGATCATTGCATTACTTGCCCCAGTGAATAAAAAATGTTCCAGTTGTGAAAGAGCCTTAATGGTGCATGGAAGCATATTAACCACATGCTAGCCATGCATGGCTATCTTCAAAATATGAACTACTCTTCATTGGGTTTCTTTTTCTATTTCCTCTGTAATTTGTTTTTAATCAACTGCTCTGCATAGCAATATGAGTAAACATGCATAAACTGTAATGATCAAGGCAATGTAAGGACTTTCTTTGTAAATTGATGTTCGTGTATTAAAATTGTATTCGAGCACTCGACATTCATTTATCATGAACATTGTATTCGTCATGTACCCACAAAATTACCTTAACAGTCTCCTTAACGTTCTGTATTTTAGTGGGCCTTGTAAATAACCTCTGGGCTTTGTTAATGCATTGCTATCGTAGGCTTCACAATTATCCAACAAGAGACGTGTGGGAATTTTCCAGGTACAGTCCAGTGCAGACTTATTCACCCAAGGTTATTTACTAAACGCTCAGCCAGACCACGACTGCACTTAATATTCCTATTGACGTGCACCACACTTACCGTCTCCCATCAGCATGTGTGGCCACCAGATGTAAGGCCTATGTACGACGGTGAGAGTCCTCTGTACTTCAAACAGGGAATGTATACAACGTTTGCTGATCCACGAGCATGGACATATCCATGTATAGCAGTTGGAGCCAGCCCATACAATGTATATTGTTGTAGTGACATGTTTTCGTCCTTTATCAAGAAAAACACACACACACACTCTTGGTTAAAGGACAACCGATGAGACAACTACACAACGGAGTACTTTAAATTTGTTTTGTATTCTGGCGTAGCAATACTGTATTGTGAAGTGTAATTATGTGATGTAATTACATTAAAAACCAGAACGAATTGAACGACCGTTGTCTCCACTTCTAGTCCTGAGCTGGTTGTATAAATGTGCCATGCTTGGCAGAATACAGTCAGCCCATAATAAAAAACACACACTTTTGACTTCCCACGGAGTAAAAGCAGTTCGAAAGAAACGGAGTGCTATTTATCTTATGGTGAAAGACTCCAGAGGGTCCCCCCCCCCAACCCCCACGGGCCAGCCGACCTCACTCGTTTCCCAGGCCGAGTGTTGAGAGTGACGGGAACGGAGATTGTGGGTGCGAGTTCACGCGAACCACACGCCAGGTGTCGATCCCCCGCAATCCGGAGAATTATTTTCGATGGCCACTGAATAATCCTCTCGTTAATCTTGCTCCATCGCTTAAACGAGAAGAAGACCTAATAGAAAATGGCTTGACGACATAAGAGATTGGTGCCAGGCAAATGTGCACGACTTGAGCATTGTGCAGTGGACACCTACGGGCTATCTGCCGTAGGTGTCATGATGATCGCTTACAATAAATTAAGTTCGTAATAACGTCAAACAAATTCGTGGGTATATTCAGAGCTCACACAGGGAGCGCGCGCCAACAGATCATGGACCGTAGCTCCGTGAGCCATCGATTGCAGTGGCTCCGGTGAGATTGTTGTCATCATGAGCATCATCACCTGGGTGTCATTGTATCATTATGACGCTTGTCCTACATCATACGTCTGAAAATGCGTACAAAATACATTTGGGTTACGCCCATTTCAAACCCTTATAAACAGTTTGCCTTGGAAGCTAACCCCCCTTTTCCTGAAGACGACCGCTTGTGTTGCGATCGAAACGTCGCAGTTTTTTTTTCTTTGAACCTATCTACGTGACTTTATCGAAAGACTCAAAAATATGTTCAATAAACTGTTGGGGCAAGCGCTGTTAGCGAGCACCTATGCAGGTGGGAACGGCACACGAAGGGGGTTGGTGGCCAGCACCATACCCGGCCGCCTTTGTCTCCCTGGTGGCGATGTTTACATATCACACCAAGGGGAGGCCCAGGAGCCGTTCAGATAATCGTCACTAATGTGGATACATCACATGTGTAGTGACACAGCGCCGACTGCTGTACAGCAGCAGCAACTGCAGGTGGACACAGCACACACGCCGTTGAGCATATACACGGTGTGTGTGCGAGCAGGGCAGAGGAACTGGGGCAAGGGTCAAGGCAGACCTCATAGGGAACCCTCTGGTAGGGTCGAGAAGGGAGGCACGGCTAGGGCAAAGAGCCAAGCCGCGCCGAGGGGAATAAAAGCAGCGGAGAGCGAGGAACTTCAGGCTGTCTGTTCTGGGAGTGGACTCGTCTCGTAGTCGCCGCCTCGGTCGATGCCGTAGGTGCAACGGGTTTGGGTCGTGTCTGGGCCGGGCTGTACGGCAGCGAGAGAGGAGGCCAGAGTTGGTGGTGTGAACGAGAGATGATAAAAAATTAACCCCTAAAAACAACGTTTTTCACTATAAATCCTTTATATGCGTGGCGGCTAGAGTCCTCTCGTCCTCTGGCTTGAGATGGCTGCCACCTATGGGTCAGATGATTACCTGCCACCATTAAGCAATTGGTAATTAAATATAAAAAAAAATTCCTAAAAAGTGTAAAATTTTGGAATTTTTTTTCACGAAAATAAATTGTCACGCACAACGAGTCTGTGTGCAAAATGTCAGCTCGATAGGATCACGGGAAGTGACTTAAAAAACGACCGAAAGATTTGCACGGTAGTAAGCGCGCAAGCAAGCAAGCAAGTGAACTTAATATAAAGGATTTTAAAAAGAGACGGTGTCTCCTGCAACTACCTTGTCCCCGACTGAGTGTGTACGCCGCACGCCACACGCACACACGCCTCGAGGAAGGACACTAGAGATGTTAGCAGCAGTGACGTGCGGTGAGGTCAATGTCTGGGGAGGCACTGGCTAGTGTCAGAGCCAGATTCACACACTGAGGGGGGCGTGTCCTCACTGAGGGGGGCGTGTTAGACACGTCCACCTCATTGAGGCAGATGTGATAGCTGCCTCCCCTGGTGCTTTTTCATTGCAGTTTCATGACGAGACCAGCGAGCCTAAATATTTTTATACACATACGTGAAATAAGTTACCTGGATTATGGAAGGCGAAGACATGAAATGAAGAGGTCTACAAACATTACATTGGTGACATACTGATTTAGTAACAGGCACGCGCTTATTGCCCGCGCTCCATCCAGTTACTGAGGGGTTGCGCAATCAGAGGGGAGGCTGAGCTCGTCGCTGCCTCACCTCTCGTCTCTTCCTGTATTTGCAGCGGAGCTCCGCAACTTTGGCGATTTTGACTATAAAATGATAGGAATCGTACAGAAATGACATTTATAACAGACCAGTGGAAACATCTTCATATTCATTTTATTTGATTATTCTTATTTTTACTTTTAGTAACAGCTATTTTCATTGAAGTATGGCAGGTGAGGTTGTGCGTCACCTGCCTCCCCTGACCGCACGTCCCTGGTTAGCAGTCACCCTCTAATTATTAGTCCCACCAATGGAGTGGTACCATACCAGGTCCTGGTGTGACCAGAACACTCATCCAACTGTCCAGAACTCATGGCATTGACGCAAATCGACACAGGCACCACCTCAGTACAAGCCCGTAGTTGGCTCACAAACCAATTGCTTTCGGTGTGGGGAAAACAAAAAAATGCAACTGGTGTTATTGGAATGGTAATACATACACGGGAACACGATGCCACTGCTCCGTACTTTAAATGTTCGCGAACACATCACGACAATAATGACACTCGACACATTCGTCAATACCGCTGCCTTAAACAAGTATATCCAGTAATAGGCCCCCTGTTGCCGGCATGAATGCGGTCTCTGTGGATTTTCACCTCTGCTGGCCTCCATGTGCTATGAATAAGAGCAGTTTTCTGAAACGTTGTCTATTTAAATCCTTTATTAAATCCTTTATATTAAGTTCGCGTGCTTGCTTGTGTGCTTGCTTGCTTAGGACCGTGCAAATCTTTCGGTCGTTTTTTAACCCACTTCCCGTGATCCAATCGAGCTGACATTTTTCACACAGACTCGTTGTGCGAGACAATTAATGTTCGTGAAAAAAAATTCCCAAAATGTTACACTGTTTAGGGAAAAAAATTAAATATTTAATTACCAATTGCTTAATACTGGCAGACAATCATCTGACCCATAGGTGGCAGCCATCTCCAGCCAGAGGACGAGAGGACTCTAGCCGCCATGCATATAAAGGATTTACGGGTTATACTTATTTACATTTTTCTTTAAAGTTTTCTGTCGAGTGAGTTTTTTTTTTGTGTGCTTGTGCACCACTGCCAACGCAGCACCATTGCCAAGGCATAGTGTGTTGGTGGTACATCTGGATAAAATTCCAACCCCCTGTTTGTTCTTGTTGGTTTTCCTGTGTGTACAAACTTTTTAAAAACGTTCCAGAAATAGGCATTTTCATAGTTTCGGGCACGCATTTAGTATCGTTCGAAAGCCCGTTGTCTCAGGGTGTTTAGTTTCGACTTTGCTTTGCTGAGTTATGAGCGAATACAAAAATCGCACTAACGTGGACTACAAAATACAAAACCCCCGCTACACTAAGGAATTAATGTGCACTACGAAATCAAACGTTTGTTTTCTGGCCACGTGGACCAACCGTGAGCCTAGCAACAGGTGTCCCTAGCAACGGTGTCTCTAGCAACGTGTGTCCTTAGCAACACGTGTTCCTAGCAACGGTATCCCTGGCAAACGGCGTCCTGCAACAATAGACGTCCCTAGCAACGATGTTCCTAGCAACTGTATCCCTAGCAATATGCATCCTTAGCAACAGGTGTCCCTAGCAACGGTGTCCCTAGCAACATGTGTCCTTGGCAACAGATGTCCCTAGCAACGGTATCCATAGGAATATGCGGCCCTAGCGACGGTGTCCGTAGCAACGGGTGGGGTCCAGGAAGTCATAGGAGAACATTCAGGGAACCTAGTGAAAAAGTACTGGAGAGAATGAGTGATTGAATGACGCAAGAATAAGAATGAATAACAGGAATGAGTGATTGAATGAGGTAGGAATGAGAGGTGTGAATGTCTGACTCCCCCCCCCCTAGGTGCGTGACGTCATTTATGGACAGCTCCTGAGGTGTTCAGGTGTGTCTGGGGAGGGTCAGGATGACGACTGATGAGTGGCGTCAGGTGTGTGGTGAGTATCTGTCACGGGGGCAGGTTTCCGATGAGTGTTGAAAGGCGTCAACAGAGGCTGGGGGTGCAGCCAATGGGGGTGAGAAGCGAGGACGGAGAGACGCGTTAAGAGGTGGGGGGTGGGGGGGAACACAACCCCACCCTTCGAGTTTCAAATCCGAGTCATTTACGAAACGCGCTGCTGGTGCCTGCCGCTGCGGTTTGACCGCGCCGGCCTCTGTAACACGTGCGCGCACTGCGGCACGTGGGAAGCGAGAGAGAGGTCCCCGCTTCCTGACACCGCGTTCCACCATCGCCTCGCCCCTCGTCTAAGGTGCGGCCACAAATTGCGGCTCTCTGAAACGTTAAATAAGCTACGTGGTTCAACACGTGTTAGTGCTGTGTGTTTGTTTGTTTGAAACCGCTCGCGAGAGTGGCTGACTCGCGACTTTACTAGTCGAGTGCATGCGTTTGGAATGGGGCTTCTGACCTAGGCCTCGCTCGCTCCGTCAGGTCGAGTTCTTTGCGTGTTATTAACGCAAGCATGGTTGCTAATCGTAGCTGAGTGTCATTCTAGTAGACGGTGCAGTATTACTGTAGTTCATCAGAGTAGTACTGTAGGTGTCTAGGAGCAATTACTAGTGCACTGTACTGTAAGTTGCTTAGTGTGGTGGTAATACAGCATATATTCAGACGCTGACTATAAACACAGACGTGCTTCATATATCGTAGCCTCCCCCACATGATGCTCTATGATCACGTGTGGCTTTTATGTTCCAACCTTCTTCCACTAAACTCATGTACATAGAAAGTGTGTGTAAATCGATGTGTGTGTGCCTTTTTCGCCCGCGCAACGCCGGGTACTTACCGCTAGTACTCTATAAGCACGTGTTGCTTATGATGTCATTCTATCCAGGTTATACTTTAGGATTGGCCATTGTTTTACCGGTGTAGAAATACTGCAGTTGCCATTGTAATGTTTCAGTGCTGTAGTTTGTGTAGAAGTAGTTGCCTGTTTGGTGATTGAAGTCAATGGTTATGTGGCGATCGTGTAGTGGTTAAGTAGCAGTCGTTGCTAGTCCAGCAGTATATAGAGTACCGATGTAGTGGTACACCAATTGTCAGTGGATTCGTATCTTCAAGTGTATTCGTTGCCATTGTATATTTGGCAGTGGAGCAGAAGTTGCCATGCCACAGCACAGGCCGGGGTCGTCTGTATCGGTTGCTTTGCTTCTTGTAAGACAATTACGAATGTGATGTGTTTATTTATCCTTGAGCACCACGAGCAATGCAGTCGCATATTTTTCAAATTGTGACAAAATACTTAACTTAACAAAACGCGTTGGAGCCAATTGAGAAACGAGTTGCTTTTGCAAGTGGGAATTGACAAGAATGCTTAAAATACAACAAATGCAATTTACAGGTATACATATCTAAAACATTAAGCCACCCAACCGTACCAAAATATTAAAAGGAACACAATTTTTACACGAAGTATATCCGGTAAAGTCTTTAAATAGCGAATGTAGCCGCCCACGTCGTATTCAAAAGACAAGTTTTGCGAGCACGAAAAAACTAAGCTATGTTTTAAAAATATTACCAGGTCAGGCCCACTGAGCTATATAGACCCTTGTCAGAAGCGAACTGGGCACAAATGATAGCTCAACTAAGTGCCTTAGGTTTGGCGAGCGAGCAAGGGAGAGAAACACCTCCGTTATTTCGCCCGTGTTATTAAATATCCTCCGGTGTGATTCACAGGAAGGAGTTGTGTCCCTTGCGGTTCTTGGAGCACTCTTGAATTCATGGAGGGGAGGTCCCGCGGAGGAGGCGCACAAGGGAGAGGAGGTGGGCGGCGACAAGCAAAGAAGAGGGAACGCATCATGCGCCATCAGCCGAAGAACGTGGTCTTTCCAGCTGTGGAGGGGGGTGCTGCTGATAGCTGTAAAGATGACAATGGTGAGTCGTATTCATGCCAACAACTGGCATTAATGTGCGTGTATATGACATGATTTACGTATAACATAATTTAAAAATGTAAGACGTATAACTCTGGCTTTTCGTCTGGTGATGCTGGTTGTAATTACTGGTGAAACGTCTTACTCGAATTGTAGATGTTGTGGGTTTACACTTGTAACACACCGGTGTGCTGAACTAGTAGCAAATTGGCATGTTTTGTTTACGTGACAAACCTTACTAATTGGTGCTGTCGGGTGGTGGTAGGTTTAACGGCACATTTGTATTTACGTGATCTAGCCCAAATACCTATATTATGAACATGATTTAAGTTATTTTTTTTGTCATGATAGGACAATTGTTCTTAGTGAAAACTTGTATATATATGTGTATTCTGTAGTTTGACCCCAGGTAATGATTTAAAATGCACTGCTTAATTCGTCTTCATGTGGTATCAAATGGTATAATGATTACATTTGCTCATGTCCCTGTAATTAAACCTTTCACTGTTGCTTTTTAAGCAGACCATCAAACTCCAAATATCTGCGTTTGCCACTCATGCACTTGCTTTAATCACAGCACACGTTTTAATTAAAATAATCGTGGATAACTCACGGGTAGGAGCAATTTGTTGCACAAATCCTCTTAGTTCAACAAAATGCGAGTATTAGGAAGCAGATTCGCTATGTACTATTGGGAAAATTACGGATGATATAATTGCAGATATGAAAAAATAGGGCAGCAGTTTTTACAGACTCTACAGCTGCCACGGATAATTGTCGTCGTGGGTAATGGGGCCACAGATAAGAGGAGCTTTTATACACACGTATATTTACATCATATCATACTAAACAAGAAAAACAAGTTTTGCTGGCTGGCCAATCACCACCCAGTGTGCGTTCTCACTGGCAGGAGTCCATGCACCACCCAGGGGAGGGGCAGTGCCGGTAACAATTAAACAAATGCATCCCAAACATAGTAACTGTGGTTTCATGCATTACTAGCTACGAATGCTAAAGAGTGATTAAAAAGCATCTGCATTTGCGCAGTGTGTCAATTGACTTTTCTTCATGGGCTGTGCAGGTGGCATTTCCTTCCCAGCAGCAGTGGCTCCTTTCACACCATGGTGTCAGGAGCACAGCGTTGATACTGGTCCTGAGGGAGCGCAGAGGCAGGACACTGACAAAAGCTGGGCTCTGGGGCTTCAGCAGCTGCCCGATGTTCTCACAGGTACTCTCCTTTAATGTATCCGAATGAACTTACGCACTTGTGGTAAACGAGTGGTTTGAGACAACCCCATAACATTGGACCAAGTGTATTACACTGCACAGACAATGTTGAAAAGTAACACGGTGTCACCAACTTCACTTGTATTCTATATCAAAATACTGAAGGCTTCAATTGCCCCATCGGTGGTAAGATTAAAATTATAGCCCTGCAATTACTTGCTCACGCCACTGCTGGCAGAAGGGAGCTCAAAAGAGCCCCAAAAGAGGGTATTTGGCCTACTCTTCCACCTGGCCAGACATCTTGCCTGTGCACTTATGCATTTATACTGGTGGGTGGACACGGTGAATTTAAGGCCTTTTCCCATTGTTTAAACTGCCACACAAGTTCGATTAGATCTCCCGGCGACCTCTGGATCGCAAGTCCAGCGTGCTAACCCTTACATCACCGCAGCATCCGTTAGCCCCCCCCACACAATTGGCCAATGGCGCAATGGAGCGGTGAGCGTTTTGTCTTTGCGGCCACCCGTGCAGCGGAGTCGATGGCCCATGCACGCGCCGCGGAGATGCTGGCCATGCTGCAGGCGGTGAAGAGGAAGAGCTCGGTGCGACGAGTCTTCCAGACGCTGCCCACGCACATGCGGCGCCGCGCCATGAGCCACAACGTCAAGCGGCTGCCATGCCGCCTTCGCGACGCCGCCAAGAGGGAGGTGCGACAATGCGCAGCGAGACCCCTTGCCATGTTCACTCGCACACCGCCTGTACGCCGTACGCACAGCTACACGTACTCAACGCTCTGCCTGTATGTACGGAACGCACAAGCACTCGTGCGCTACCAGCTCTGTGTTACATATACACGTATCCATGCATACACGTATAACAAATGAGCGCTCTCTCAACCGACTACACCACGCGCACACAATATGTACACGTATGCCGAACACACAAGCACGTACACCACAATAACCATTTACTATATACACACAAAACATACGTCTATAGACCAACACACTGGCGCTTACACCACTGGCTGTGCATACTATATAACCATTTATACAGCATTGGGAAGTCACTTAAATACTGGAGTCAATTAAATTCAATATGTTTTAGCTTTTATTTCTTTTTTTGTCACAGTCCGCGTTTCTAATTCGTTTGTCATGGCAGGTAATATGCAACGATCTAATGCTTGAACCCTTGGACACTGTTGCTGTTCATTATCAAATACGTTGGTAATTGGCTTTTTCACAAAAATGGCGCCCGCGAATTGCGGAAATCGATGGGGAGCACCGTCCTCACTCGTGCTACGTTGCCTCCCCCACGCCGCAGATGGATGAATCCAGTGCCAAGGCGAAGGTGGTGCCCAAGTGCCGCTCGCGTAAGGCGCGGCGTCGACACGGCAGCCTGCTGCTCGACTACAACCGGCGGCAGCGGCGCCACATCTGGCTTGAGACGCACATCTGGCACGCCAAGCGCTTCCGCGTGGCCGAGCGCTGGGGCTACCGGCTTGGTTTGCAGCCCACCACAAAGACATACCGCAGCGCCTACCGCGCCATGGCCCAGCGCTGCCTCCTGCAGGTTCGTCGCGCGCCCGGCCGCTCCGTCTCCGTCTCTGACGCGCACGTTCCCTTCGCCGTTACGTTTTTATCCGGGTGGGTGACGCGGAGGCCAGAGTGCTCGATTCATCCAGAGCCATTCCAGTGTGTTACATCTCTGCAGGTTGATAAAATGGGAACCGCTTCATGGGAAGTCCGAAGTCTCTGTATTTGAATCTCAATCTGCAGAGCATTGTGAAGCCACTGCAGTAATTGTGATGTCTCCCATACAGGATGTGTCTTACTACTGCTGTCTGGAGCTCAAGGGCAAGGAGGAGATGCTCCTGGGAGTTTTATCCACACTGTGCAGCCCAGAGACAGGTAACCCAAACTTTTGGAATGGTGAACATTTCCCAGTTGCTGAATAAGTATAACCCGTAAAAACAAACTTTTTCACTATAAATCCTTTATATGCGTAGCGGCTAGAGTCCTCTCTGGGTCAGATGATTGTCTGCCAGTATTAAGCAATTGGTAATTAAATATTTAATTTGTTTTCCCTAAACAGTGTAAAATTTTGGAAAAAAAATTTCACGAACATTAATTGTCTCGCACAACGAGTCTGTGTGCAAAATGTCAGCTCGATTGGATCACGGGAAGTGGGTTAAAAAACGACCGAAAGATTTGCACGGTCGTAAGCAAGCAAGCACGCAAGCGAACTTAATATAAAGGATTTAAAAATACGATTAGTTATCATATGAGTGGTTGGTGGCTGCCAAGGTACTGAGAGCAGAAGCTATCCCTCGACCATTGTTAATGCCATTGACTTACTAGATGCATGTGTAATTTGCTAGTAAATTGTAAAGGTTGGTGTTCGTAGAACAGCTGCTATAGTTTCAGTTATCGCTTGTTATATATGTTGTCTTTCATTACGTCGTGAAATCTTCCCCACATGAATTAGAAGTGTCTGTGAGTGGCTTTGTGTTCTACCAATCATCTGGCCCCCACTGATGTTGGTTTATTTCGTTTATTCTAATTTTTTACCAGGCACTTCTTTTGATGGGGCGGATTACCTCGGTGGACAAAGGCAGGGGTCCTTGGTGATGTACAGAGCAAATGGCTTTCCCACCCAACCGCTGGGTCCTGTCACCTTTTTATGGCGGCCATTGCAAATGCCTGATGAACGAGAGACGAATACGGAGCACCGGCAGCTATGGATCTGGGTCCATCCTGCCATGAAAAATGTAAGCACTTTTTGTTAAAATGTGTTTACTATGTTATACGCACTTTCGGCATTTACCACAAATGAGGCACTGTCACAGTCAAAAATACAACATTGTCAATATGTATGGGACGTCTCTTTGAAAGTAAGTTTCATTGAAAGAGTTTGACTTATTCATTAATAAAGTTGTTGGTTGGGCACATACTCACAAACTGAATGCACCATCACTATCCCAGCATGGATGACATCCGACACCACGGTATTGTCTCACCACTTGTCCCTTGTCAAGAACGATGGAATTTTTTCCCCCATGTAATTTAGAGTTTTGATTGTTTGACATACTAAAAAATGCATGTAAAGTATGAGAAACATATGTTTGAAATCGTGCAATTGCCCTTGTACTAAAGCTGAGTTGGGGGCTGTGGCAGCAACCTTGACTCATCATTCTTGTGGGGGTAAATAAATTTAGTACTACTTTGAGGTGCGTCTTTAGTGATTTGCTGCTATGACGAGACTGGCCCCCCCACGAGGTATGAATGTATAATTTCCACCACATTGTGAAGGCCACCAACACTCCTTTGTGCATGGAGACATTTCCATATTGACCTTTACAGCTATTTATTTTTCTTTGCAGGAGGTTTTGTCTGAGCTGAAGGAGAATTTCAAATGCTTAGAGCCAGTGTTAGAGCCACCAGACCTCAAAGTCACTCCAACACAGACTCCAGGTGTCACCGGCCCAGCGGAGGGCACTCAGTCATCCGCTGAAGCCTCCGGCATACAAGCGGCATCCGCACCGCAGCGAGCGCAGCTTGGCGAGACCTCCGCCGCCCGTAAAAGCGAAATGAAAGCGGCGCTGCCGGAGGCGGTGCGCGGTGCCAGAAGGGGCAAAGCGAGTGGGACGAGGAAGCGGCGGGCGGAGGACGGCGAGCAGCCCGGAGCTCCTCCGGCGAAGCGCATTTACGGGGACGGAACCCGCGGTCCACGTGAGCCCAGGAGCTGGATGTCGGTTTCCACAGGGACTGCTCTCACGTAAGACACCCCCCCTCCCTTCTCCTTCGCGCCCCTACGAACTTCGATTAGCACGGTTGGCTATGTACGTTGTAAAGAAAGTTCTACATACATACGGAGGGGCAAACAAGGGCTCTTGCATGCAGTAGTCGCTCATGATATAAAAAACATTCCATTTCATTTTTTTATCAACAATTGTTATCACGTGTATTTTCAGTCATGTGATGAGATCAAGATATGTCTTTCTGAACACAATGTCACGTCACGACAGAATGGCCCCCAGAAGATGACGTTACAGAACTTCTTCTCGAGTCACTTAATTAGGCCTCGCATAGAATGTTAGATGACACACCTGCTCTGTGTCGCGTAGAATACCGTAGATCGCTAAATCACCTTCTTTAATCCTCTGAGGTATCGTATGCAAATTCCGCATTAAGTGAAAACCTATTTTTATTGTGCAGGCATTGTTATTGGGTTGGTACAATTAATTCACTACACATGGGACCATGATTTAATCACAGGACGCTGCTTTGATTCTAGCCAATCCGCTTAGTGTTATAACAGATAACCCTGTCAGTTGTGGGCTACTTTGGATTTCTAACTCTCAGGTAAAATATGCGGGTGGATAAAACATTCCTATTCTCAAAGGTAATGTGTATTTGTCCGTCCCCTAGCTTTTGCCAGGCCAATGGTTTCATGAAGCTGAACAAAGTTGATGTGCTTAAATGGGGGATAAATCGTGATGAAGCCACTGTCATATTGCAGCCCATCACTGGGAGGTGAAGGTCTGCTATGATGAAAACCAAGTAGTAGTTGATTAATTTATTGACTCAAAATCCTGCTGTTAGGAGTTTCAAAGCACTTTGTTGTAATCTCTTGTAGTGGGTCAACTGCATGCATTTTTTTGTTCCTTAAAGTTGTACTCGTAATAATCCCATAACATTTCAACATTCCGGTTCCAGCGTGACCACATTGAAATTGTAAATCCTGAATTTCGAGTTTCTTAGATCGCAAGCTGGAGCTACAAGCTACCACCACCAGGGGGGGGGGGGGTCCATTACACGTGGTGTACACACCGCGGCAAGCGTGTGGCGGTGGTGGTGCGTGTTGAATTGGCTAACGAGTAAAAGGCGCAGGTAACATCCCACGTGGCGTGATGGTATACAGGTTACAGCCATTTGTTTTGTAAGAGCCTTAGGAGGAAAGTCCGCTGAAGGTGTAGTATATAAGCCGTTGTGCGTTTATCCAGGTGCAGGTGGCGATACACATGTCATAGTGACTTGGAAGCAGGTTTGGCAGATGACTAGGGGATAAGGAGACCCTAGGTATGAGTTGCCCCCACATTCTTGGCAATGAGGTGCTCTTAGGAGGCGGCAATCGCTACGATTCTGACGCAGGTATGAGTCGTAATGCTGTATTGACCCTGTCGTAAACCCGACGGAAGTTGTTTCATTTTAATATCATAGTGTTCTGTAATGTTACATCACATTGTTACTGTGAAGTTTGTTTCTCCTTAATGAAGCTGCATACTTGTCGGACAGCCAGGGTGTAGGGTACATGTCTGCCAGTTAAGATCGGTTTGTTGTCTTGTTTCCTCGAAAGGGTGACTTATTCAGGGTTTTGAAATCAAACACTTGTGGTACATTTTCATTAATACGTGCATTCACCTGTGTGGCTTTGCAGTGACCTGACAATGGAGATGGTGAGGTTTCAGCTGATCGGTCCCCGCTCCGGATTCATACTGACACACGCTCTCCGGCCTGCAGACATTCACCACCACGTAAGATCCACATGTCCTGCACGAGATGAAGCATCCATTCGGATCTCTATCAGCGGTTTAACTTTTCGTGCGAGAGAATGGTCCACAGAAGCGGGATACCAAAGAGATGCCTCTTGAGGTCCATTCAGGTGACTTCTTTTCAACACGGTAGGGGGAAGAACTTTCCAATACACCCTGCCACTGGGAGTAATGGTCAACGCAGGACAGTAAAACCAATATATTTTTTTTATTCTAAGAGCTGGCATTTGACCAAATTAACTGCAGAACCAAATTTAATGTGATTGTTTTTTTTGTGCATTCATTGGTGAGCAGGCTGACACCATAAAATCATTAAAGGCTGCTCCCAAGATTAATTCCCAAGATCTTAGTGGTCCCAGATCAGCGCTCTGACCTCTGAGCCACCTTGGCCACTTCAAGATCCGCTCTTAAATGACTGCTTTTCGACATCGCAGCCCAGTGCAGTTTGGTGTTGCCCAGGATCACACTACTCGTGTATGACTTGACACTGCACGGTCATTCTGATGAAGCAATGCCTAATGAGAGTCGGGAAAGTAAGAATACACGTTTAAATAAAATGTCAAGGGTGTGGAGACATTAAACAGACTTATAGTGCCATCGAGATGAGATTAAAGGCATGATTCACGTGCAAATGTTCCTCTTTGTCTCACTTTTGGTGAAAGAGTGCTGACGGTTACATTGCCAACGATAGGCAAACTGCCAAGGCAATGTGTGACAGCCACTTTGTCAAGATGTGAATGTGGCCTCAATAAGTCCGTGTTCGCTCTCACGAGCAGTGGAGTGGTTCTCACACCCAATAGTGGTCCTGATGATCCGGTAGTGAAAATTCGCGTATCCACGGCTATCACAAGCTTGTCGACCGGTTTATTGAACTTGCAAGGATGACGGAGGCAGAGTTGACCCAGTCCAGGATTAGATTTTTCAACCTCTTCGATTGTGAGTTTCATGCCTTCGCTGTGGCACCGCTCGGTCAAATGAATTGCTGGCCGAAGTGGCGCACGCCCGTGTCCGGTGCTATTGGAGGCAAAGATTGATGCTTCCTGCAGGTTGGTGAAACTCACAAACGCGTTGAAAGACGAGGTGGCCGGGAGATGTCCTCTCGTGCATTGTCGGTTATTCTGCAGCTGCTCTAGTTTCCTTCCACATGCAAAACACGCCGTCACGGAATCGTTAAAACATCCCAACGCAGACCCTGCTGAAAAATTGTTGACCATTTTTGAGGTTTCCTGCACAAATAAATGACAGATATAAAATGTACACTGCCAGACGTATGGGCCTTTCAGATTAATATTTACCACATTTGTATTTTAAACAAGGTGACCTAAATCTCGTCAGCAAGGTATGGCCCATCGAACATTATTACTGCATACACTGATACGGGCAGAACCTTGCCTTGAACATTATTGGGCCTAGTGGTGTGGCCTGTTTGACCAATGCTACTTTAGGATTGCATCGCCCAAATATTAAGGGCGAGAAGAATTTTCCAATGAAGCTAAAATGTTTGATTTAATTTGCCTACTGTGGTGTTGACACCCAACATTGTTGATAAACGGTTAATACCTTTCACATCAGCGTACTCCGTGTCATTGCATGTGTAGGCCAACCCTTAGCTGATGAGACTCGGTGGAGTCGTAACCAATTAACTGTGTTTTTTTTGTGAACCAGACTTTATTTAGACTGGAAGAGAATCCAATGAGCTATGGAGCCATTTTTTTTTACAGATACCTCAAAGGCTTGTAGGCCAGTGGATTAAATGGTAATTGCATTTGATTGAAGATATCTAACTTTCCCAAGTTGGATATAATTGAACGTGTGGATTGAAGATGAAGGCCAGTTCAAGGTTGAAAGCACTAATTGTGATTACCGCATAAGAGGGACTCGCAAGGATGCAATTCTAAACGGATGTCACACTTTGTTGCTATGGCATGACACGTTGTTTGTGTTGATGTATAGTCTGAAGGCCAGGGCAAGACTTCATGGTGGCTGAAAGTGTGCAGCGAGCCGTCGCACGTCCTGCAGCATGAGAATCAGGGACAAATCTTCCAGCTTCTAGCCGGTACAATGCAGCAGCATGACACACCGTTACACGGCGGTTTAAAATAACCCTGCATTAATTCCTGATGAAACACTACTAATGGGGTGGCATGATGTGAGGTTTTTGACTGTTGTAAACTCTTTACTACTTATTACACATATAGTCACGTGCTAATATAATACTGGACGAGGGACCTTCCTATGCTGTGGATGTCGTGGCCGTTATTTGATTATACTTAACGCTGAGCACTGCTGGTTGGTGAAGGCCGGCAGCATAGATATGGGAGCGTAGATGTGCAGTCCAACAATGGATTTTGCCGCAATGCTTTTTGCTACCCACGATGTAGCCCCGCAGCCTATAACACCTGCTGTGCTGAGTGGTCACCCATCCAAGCACCATACAGGCTTAGGCCTGCTTAGCTTTCAAAATCCTCCGAGATTTGTGGCAGCATTCTGTGTGATTTGGTCATAGGGTCTTAATATTTATGCTGTACTTTACACTGCAACACCTCTCAAGACTGATAACTTTTACACTCGTAATTCCCAAGGTAAGGATTTATTCCACACACATTTGTACTTAAACCAACAGATGCATGTAATGTGTCACAGCTCAGCTTGCATTCGAATGGTGAACATGGGAAAGGCAGACTCTGTATCACCGCTGAGGCAGAGTCTTGGGGGAAAAAATCTGCCGTCATTGCATAACCCATTCGTGACGGCGTGAGTGCCAAGTCATCACCGTGTGAAGTCGGGTTTCACCACTGCAGGATTTCTGCCTGGCCGCGCTGGACAGTGCCCTGCTGCTGCTGTGTCGTGGTCAACGCACTGCGCCACGAACCCAGTGACCCGACTTTGATTTCCGCTCGTGAATAATAACAGTGGCAAATATTTTAACCAGTCTCGGGCCTCCACTAGGTTGACTCGGCCTCATATGAGTACCTGGTGTGATTTGTAAACATCAGCACTGGGGAGACCAAGGCAGCTTGTTATAGTGCAAGCCTCACCACTCCCTTGTATACCATACTGGGCTTAATAGGTGCTCTCTAACAGGACTTGCTCCAGCAGCCTGTTTAAGGCTATTCAGGTTTCCCTCGCTTCCTGCAGTTAGATGCGTTCTAAAAAAGGGGCGCACAAAGCGAAACCGAATGACCGGCAGCCTGCCGAGTAGTGCATACACCACACACACAATGTTGGCCCACCTCTGACCGCACAGTCACATGAGAGTAAATTCAACCCACAGAGTGCATTTTGGGTAGAAATAGCTTAGCCGCATTCACGTGAAATCGCACAAACTGAGCCTGCATATAAAACGAGGGAAACCTGTACCTGGGATATTAGTTTTGTGCACGACTGCTGCGAGGTGACTTCTGTCACTGCCGCCCTCCCGCCCAGGGTTGGGCAGTGCCTCGGACGTGCCTCCAGGGTGCGTGCTGGGTCTGACGGTGGGCGACCCACGCCTCGATCTCCCCAACAAGCGGACGATACCTGCGGACCCCCCCAGCATCCCTCCTGCGAGTGGTGGTGCCGCAGGTGGTGCATTGTGGCTGGTGGTTGAGTGCGGGCTCATCCGATCATCGTCGTCATCAATATCAATGCCATCATCATCTGTAGAAAATGTAACCGAGCGTAGGGATATCCTGAGGTGTTTGCTGAACGCGCGATGTGCATGCCTGGCTCTTTAGGCATTTAGTGGAGTTACGTGGCATGTAGCAATTCGATTTATTCTCGTGATTAGGGATTGTAAATTCGACAATTTGATTTGTTTGATGGTGTCAGGTGCTGGAGGGCTATAGCTCTTAATTGACATACCTACACGATCTACCCCAAAATTAACAAGTACCGAATTCTAATATTGGTCAGGAAAGCTTACTTACGAGATTAATTTCAGGAGATACATTTTTGTTTAGTGTTGATTGCCGTCGGCCAACATTTTGCCCGACGGACGAATCCCCGAGACTCACTGCGAATGTTTTGTGTTTTGAAGCGTTGCTTGTTCAATGCTCTATTTTCCCCTCCTCTTTGGTTGCACTCTCTGTCTGTATCTCTGTCTGCTGTCAGCATGGCTGGTGGAGGGGGGGGAGCTCCGATGCACAACTTCACAAACATTGCACAAAGCACCCTCTGTGGTCTCGTGCTCGGTGGGAGCCTCAGCTGATCCATGCTGGATGTTCCAGGTTCAAGTCCTGGCGAGACCCCTACACCAACACTACTCACTCAAAGCACGCGCCGCTCTCTTTGTCCACGGCACAGGCGACAATTCTTCTTAATGCTCGCCACACTCCAATAACTCCTGCACTCGCGATACCCGCACACCCCTTGTCACACACGTGCGCTTGTTCCTTCGCTGCAGCCGTTAACGTGTGCTATTCTGATGCTGTTCCTGTTCATTCTTCTGTGTTTGTAATGTTCATTTTTAGCTTAGTCTTTTAATGAGATAAGTGAATAAATATTGGCCAAGGTGATGGTGGCAGAAGGTCTTACATATACACCACACCACCAGATTGAATAGTATGGAGAGGAAACCATTCAACACGTAGGCTTTCGCGACCAATATTCATAATCAACGTTTTTAGGTTAGATCGTGTTATTTATAAATGTGTCGAAGCGTGAAACCACAACATGCGTGAAACCACAACATTACAACAAAATTGTAAATGTTGTGGTTTCACGCTTCAACACACCGGTGGGGCTTAAGTAGTGAACTATTTGTCTTTTGTCAACGTGACACTTTTTTGCTGATTGGCCGTGTCGGGTGGTGGAGGGTTACGACACATTTATAAATAACACGATCTAACACAAAAACGTTGATTATGAGGAAACCATTTGTAGCCAATCTTGCAATGCAGTGGTGCTCATTATCGTGTAGTGTTAGCAAAGTCTAATGAACCGATGATAACACTGCAGATAATGCAGAGGGCTGGCTATCATCTGCACTGACAGATGGGTATTGTGGGAACTGTGCCATTGGCTGTAGTCTGGCTCTGGTGTGCTGAGCTTAAATTTGAGGGGACAGTGCCGTGCAGAGGCCATGGAGAGTTAAACTTCCAATAAATAATGCACAGAACCATTTAAAACCCATTTAAAATGTCTTCACGTTTGTGGAAGAGCAGTCTCAGTGCAGCATAATCATTCCCAAGAAGTGAGTTGTATCTGCCTAGTCCCTAATGGCTATGGACAAAAATAGGTATTTTTTTGCTTGATTCAGTCTTATAGATTTTGGAATAAAAAATTCTAGTCACGTGACAGCCCACATTTTAGGGTAAGGCATCTAGTGTGAGTAAAATGTCTACGAAAGTGATTTCAGAAATACTTCTGTGTTCATGTTTGAGTTGTGATTCTCTGTAATGCGATGCGTTACTCGCTGAGAGTTCTGACTAGATACTATATCATGTCACTACATGAGGCTTAGGGCATAACCTGAATGTAATTGGTGATAAAACAAATATATACGTATGCAAAAGTCTTCTTGGTTTTTTCGGTAAAGTCACGTAGAAGGGAAGTAATAAAATAATAAAAATAAAACAATGAAATAATTCTCACGACGTTCCGCAAAAGTGTTAATAATTAGCATGTGGTGCTGGCTTGTGATTGGTTGGCTGTCCTCGTCTATAAAACAACCAACACATGCTTTGAAGACAGGGGACGAGGACTCTGGAGTGGGGTGTTTGTGCGCGTGTGTGTGTGTGCGCGTGTGTACGCGACGGTGTTTTATGTCCCGCCCCTCGCCAGCTTGCAACAACGAAGCGAACGCGCTAGCGAGGAGCCTGCAGGACGGACACGCGCAGAGCTGGATCTGGGACCGCTCCGTCCGCGATGAGGTCACGGAGACTAAGATCTCAGAGCAGGTATGGCCACACGCTCGGCTCGAGCAGGCAGATGCCGCAGCTGAGCGCGTGCCAGAGCAGTGGCTCCCAATATCTCCCACCTGTCACCTGCCCACGTGTTCTACCTACGCATAGCTTTATATTGAAGTAAGCATTTGAAAAATGACATTTCAATGACACACAAAGCAACCACCTAAGACGTGTGGTTAGCACTTCGTAATAGTTCATTGTTCATCATGTAATATTTACACTTTTAAGACTTAAAGTCGCTGACTGTCACCGTGAAGTGAAGGGGGAAGACTGCAGAGATGTTTCTGACACGTGACCATACATCATGCGAGCGCCGCCTTTGCGTGCATTGTCTTGAATGTCCCCTGGGGTACAGGGTACCACAGGTTGAGAACCGCTGCTTTAGATAATTCACTACGAACCACCAATGGGGGGGGGGGGGGGAGATGTGGGTGGTTAGCTCAAGTGTCTAATGCCCGTGTTGAAGTACTAAGCCAGTGTGACCGAGATCCTTAGTTATAATTTCGAGGACCAAAAAAGTACGTTAATAATGAATAACTCCAAAGTGCTGTTGTAAAGTCACCGTGCCCTCATGTGCCACCGCCGCTCAGGAGCTGAATCGCATGCGCCACAAGGCCCTGGTGCCGGGCACCCGTCTCAACCTGGGCGCCAGGGAGTCGAGCATTCCCGCGCTGCTGCTGCAGCATCCAGGCCGGCAGGCGGGGGCCGGGCTGGCGGGATGGGGGGCTGCGTGGGACCTGGTGCTGCCCAAGGCGTGGGGCATGGCCTTCTGGATCCCGCTGGTGTGTGCGCCAGCGGGTGGCCGTGGTGCTTTTCTGCGCTTGTGCGCTTTTTAAAGCGGCGGTGGGGAAGCGTGGCACATGGGCCGATGTTTGACCCATGGCTATTCCACACACCCCTTGACCACGTGTGAACACCAAGAATCCGAGTCCCATTTTGAAACGGTCTACAAAAATGATACTTTTCATTGTGAGCATTTCAGCCATACTACTCAACTCTAAGAAGGTAATATACCTCGCAAAAATGTTTCAAATGTTATTGCCCCAAGTCACTTCTATTGGAAGGACCTCTTTATGCTTTGTCAACGCACAAGTTATTTTTCAATTTGTTAATAGATAACACTGAGGTGTGTGGGTTCAGTTGTGGCCCACCAAAGGTATTTCAATGTCCTTGTCGGCCCTCGGTAAGCAAGAGGCTCTTCACCCCTGTTTTAATGAATGTGTGTTTGCTTTGGCACAGTAGGGGGCACAGTCATCTCAGTCAGTCAACCTATGACACCTGAGTCTGTCCCGTGACCTGCCAGCGGGCGTTCGACACTTCACGCGCCCTTCAAGTGCGCGTAGCCTGGCACAAGCGATGTGGTGACGTCACCGCCACTTGGTGGCGAATGGCGGTTGTTGATGTTGTTGTGACTACTTTAACGCCAGCGTTGTTTCTCCGGTGTGGCCCTGCCTGCGGCGGGGGGATGGTGCAGGTGTACCGCGGCGTTGTGGTCGGGGGCCTCCGCGAGGCGGAGCGGCACTCGCAATACCAGGGGGCGCCTTACTTCCCCTGTGATTTCCCGGACTGCCCCGCCGGCTCGCGCCACGACGCGGAGAGCAAGGAGGCGGCGATCGCCAAGTTCAAACGGTGGGAACACGCCAGCGGTTAGCGGCTGCACGAGCCGCGTTGACTCGCGGCTTTACGTTTCCTCTGTTCGCCTCGTTGATTTTGACGCTCCGCCGCACAACTGTAAGGCTCGTAATCGCTTGTTGTCATGGCTTTCATACATGCGTCTTTGTCTTTTGTATATGTGGCATGATGTCGTTTCTTTGTTGTCCTTCCCCCGCATCTCCCGATTCGCACGGTTGGTTACGTACGGTGCGAAAGAAGTTCAATATACATATGTGAGCTATATCAGCAGCCTGCATTAATTTCTCAAGTTTATGATTGAAAGCCCAAGAGCATATCCATCACCTCGTTTACAGCAGCAATTGAGACTCTTGCTTCGCAAAGGTTGTGTTCCTCGGCAAAATGGAATTTGACTTTGTGTTACATAGCTCCTTTTGACTTGACATCACACACAGGTACCCACCAGCCAAGAGGCCAAACTACGTAAAGCTGGCAATGCCTACGCCCTTCCACTTCCCGTGGGAACTGCTGGTGCACGAGTGGGAGCTCATGGGCACGGAGTGGAGTGTGGAGGACGAGGAGAAACCCGAGACGGAATCTGTCATGGAGATGGAGTCTCCCTCTATCGACCCAAATTTTGGAGCCTCGTTTCTGGGCCAGACAAAGTCTGAGCTCGCAGAGGAGGCTTCTGAAGTAGAAGCGGAAGAGACTCGGGAAACCTCCGAAGTCTCTGAGAAAGAGCAGCGGGCAGAGGTGAGGGGGTGCGGCACTGCAGGAGAGGAGATCACGGCGGGAGAACTCGTGTCGGTGGATAGGGAGCCAAGCTCGGAGCGCGTGGAGCCCGGATGTGAGACGGGCGACGGCAGAGATCGCGTGGAACAAGAGCAAAAGATGGAGTTGCCTTCAGTCAACTCCATAAGCGAACCATTCTATGTGATCAGGTATGTTTTAATTAGCCGGGAGTGATGGTTGTCAATCTTCGTGAATGGCCCCGGTCTTTCCTTGACTTTTGCATCACTGTTGCACTTTGCTTTACTTTTGTCATGCAGGAGCACGAGCGTGCTGACACAGCTCGCCCACTGGTGCCGCTCCCTTCCTCCTGCCACGGGGGTGGACGGAGCGGACTTGGCGCAGCAGCCCCTGACGACAGCTCTGGCGCTGGCGATGTCGCGCGGCCATCCGCGTGCGCTGCTGTGGGTGCGTGTCGACCCGCTCCAGCGCGGCTCCCCCGAGCCTCACGCCACCGTCGCCGTGCCCGACCCCGCCGACCTGGACCTCCTGCGCCGCGACCCAGCCTACACGGGGCCCCTGGAGCCCAGGTGGCGCGACGCTTTCCGGCTTACGAGGGAGGAGCGCAGGGCGGTGGGGCTGAGCAGGCGGAAGCGGCGCCTCTTTGCTGGTGGGGGCACGGAGGGCGGAGGGGAGGATCGTGGCGGTGATGGCGGTGTTGGTGGCGATGTTGCCGATGTTAGCAAGAAGGCCGACTGGATCCTAGGGCTGCACCCGGAGCCCGTGGGTTGCGTGGCGTCGGCGTGCTCGCGCCCCACGCTCGGCTTCCTGACGCAGGGCGACTTCTCCATGGCTGTTGGGCACGGGCGAGGGTTCGGGTTTGTGAGCCTCACTGGGCTCTTGCGAACACTGCTGCAGCAGCAGCTACAGCGGCAGCTTCAGCAGCAGCTACAGCAGCAGGACAAGGCTGCACCACTACCATCTCCACCACACACTTCGCAACCTCGGGGAGTTCTGCTGCTCACACGCAACGTGAACTCCCTGCAGTACCGTTTTGTCCGGGTGAGCGTAGACGTCTAGAGTTTATCTCCGCCAGGCTCGGCCAAATGGTGTTACAGATGCAGCCCAGAGGTGCAGAGATTTGAGCAACCTCTTAAAACTCTTATGGCTGCGAGTTCAAATCGCAATTTGGGTCAACGACTCATTACCACCAATGAGTTGAATAGTAGAACTGAGGTTATCCTGTGGATTGATTGGTCCACTGCATATGAATGAGTTTGCACCCGATTAGGGCCACCAACTCTCTTTGGCAGGTAGTCTGCTCACGACAGCATCTTTACTATTGAGGTTCATTGAACATCGCCCCCTACTGCAAAAACGTGGCAGGACCCTCATGGAAGTCTTGAGACCTTAAGGATTACCTGGGTGAACTCGTGCAAATGATATACATGAATGATCCTGGTTCCTGAAAATGTTTATTGTATATGGGTTGAGCCTCATCTATTCTAGTCAAGTATTTTGCCTCTATACAGCAATGAAATGGAACTGCCTGTTTGATTTGTAAACATTTGTTAATCAATCTGAGGGTGAACTGTAAACCAGCTGCACTTAATCACAGGAGATTGTTCTTCTTCTTGTTTCTTTCGGTAAAGTCACGTAGAAGGGAAGTAATAAAATAATAAAAATAAAACATAATAAAACAATTCTCACGACGTTTCGGCTACAACGCAAGCAGCCGTCTTCAGGTGAAGAATGAGACACTACCAAACTAGGAGCTTATATATAAGCTGCATTGGGGGTTGAAGAGCGCCTTAACAAAAAGAATGTGCATGTGAAGAGGGATTTAGCATATTCATGGAAAATGCGTAGGCGTTGGGCGGGGGGGTGTCAAAGTCATATTATGCCCATGCATTATGCAGGATCAGCAGCAACCAAGGGGGGTGCAGGGATTAGCAGTAACAAAGGAAAGGAATGTTAATGATATGTAGCTGCAGTTACTCAACAACCACGTAGAAAACTAAAGTATAAACTACATAAAAAACTAAAGTATAAACTGCATCGCACCATCAGTATACTTACTATACTCTATAATAAGCTGAGTTACTAACAGCAAGTAATACATTACAATTTTACCTCGTAAAAATTCTATAATATGCTTCCATCTAAACCTTATTCTCTTACATCACACGAGCATATACCGTACTATATACTGCCATAGATAAACCCAACATTAAATTATATACTGTATTGCTGTAAACCAACCTATATCTTATACACAGGAGATTGGTCAATTCCCTTGCAATGGGCGAGTGTTCCCAATAAGGGCAGCAGTTATTTTAATTGCGCAAAAAAAATCACAATTTTTAATCAAGGCGTTTACAACAGTGGGAGTATTAAATGCAAATTGCACGTGCATGTTAAGCTGCTTTCATATGAATATCTCTTGGAATCGATGTTTATTTGGCTGGAATTTAAAAGGGCTGCAACAGCACCCCCCCATACTTTCTTTGACATTTGCGTGTGCTCTTCCTGCAATGACCTCACATTTCACACAACTGCCAACCCCCTCTGGCTTGAGAGGCCATTGCTATAATAGCATGCGTCTGTAATATTTCAGTTTTTCGCATGACTGAACATGTACAGTGTGTGCGAGTGCTGGAACAAAGTTAAAAGTTTTGTGGTCAAGTCGTATTTGATTAAAGTTGCCTTTGTCATTACTTGGAGCGCAATATATAAAATGTCAATTCGCTTCTCAAAGCAACGATCGCATGTATATGGGCATTCAATAATTCATTAGTTTTAACCCATTTCATTCTGTGGATATGCATGAAAGCCTCTGCAGGTATTTGTTTCCTTTGAAACATGTCCCTGGCCAGAATGATTTGCCTGCGATCAATAAGAACTTTTGCTTGGCAGTCGGGGTCCTGTACCTGGCGTTCTCTCAAAAGCATTTTGTAAATGTAGTACATGTGAATGGGAAATGCTTAGGTGGGGGTTTCCCATGGACAAGCTGATGCAGGAGCCAACTAGCATACAAGCCATGCTTAATGCGTTACTGAATGCTTGAGCAATGCATCTCTGCGGACCTGCTTGTCACCACCTGTACTTGTAAATAATTTGGGTCATTGCTGAGGTGTTTGCAGGGTGAATTTCTCAAGCAATGGGTCTGATACTTAAACCAATGACTTGTGGAAACGCCTGCTGTATCCATTTAAGCTCATTCGGCTCCGCTGCATGGATTGTGGTCGGAGTTCATGCTAGTAAGTTCGTTTAGGACTCACATTCCAGAAAGGCACGCAGTGGAATAAAACTGACCACAATCCTAAATTTCGATTGAAAGCTTTCGTGACTGCAGGGATTGATATTCTTGGTTCTTTCGGTAAAGTCACGTAGCAGGGAAATATTAGTATAAACCAAGAACACAATCCTAAAATTACAAGTTTAAAATTCAGTGGTGGGTTTAGCTCAGTCCATAACATTGGTACCCATAAAATGAGCACAGCTTGTGAAGAGCCAGCAGTGGTTGTCAAGACATTTACTCTTTAAAGCCGGTAATATAAAACAAAGATGTGTTAGAAACCTGCAGTGTGGTGGTCACTAGTCATCCAATGAATGGCAGGACTGATCCTGTGGTGACAATCCTTTGTTTTAGCGAAATCACCCGTTGCAGGTATTGTATTACGAGCCTGAAAGAATGTGAAATTCCCACCACATGGCTCCATTCCCACTCAGCATGAGTGGCAGTTTTATTTTGACGAGTAAGGACACCACTATGGTCTTACCTTTCTGTGAAACACATACTTCCACAAACCAAGCATTGCATGCATTGTATACGTTTAAAGATTTCATACTTAAGAGATTTGGGCCATGGTGCTCATCTCTTGATGGGAATTACACATCGTAGGAGGTATGTGATGCTATACAACTGTTAACTATTGTCCACAAGGTTGGTACTTATTTTAGCAGCCTCGGTAAGCATGCTCAGAGTAACCCTGAAGCCAGCCAAATATTTTGATTGCTGTGCCATGTGATTAATCACCAGTGGAAAGCAAGTGCCAACTGGGACAATCAGAACCCATTCAACACAGGCTACTCCGACAGCTCAGTCTCCTAGTGTCATCCCACAATCCCATGTTTCAGAGAAATGGCCGGATGATGACATTCCCAGACCATTCGTGCCAATTTCAGGTGCAAATCAGTCTGGCCAAATCGTAGCAAATACAGATGTACAGGCCTTTATTATGTATTACACCATAAACCACAAACCATTCCTATACACCAAAAAGGAACTTCGTGTTTGTTGGCGATACATTTCTCGTTCTCACTACAGCAGAAAGCAATGTTCCAATATTTTTACAGGTCGACATGAAACTGCAATGTGCACACGTATGTAATTGTACAGTAGCCAGCTTAAACTGCTGGGGATTTCTGGGTAATAAATCACCGTTTACCCATAAATACATCTTGGTCAGCCTATTGGTATTCCAGACTAGCAGTCTTTAAATCCTTTATATTAAGTTCACTTGCTTGCTTTGCGCGCTTACGACCGTGCAAATATTTCGGTCGTTTAACCCACTTCCCGTGATCCAATCGAGCTGACATTTTGCACACTCGTGCGTGAAAATTTATTTTCGTGAATTTTTTTTCCCTAAATTTTACTTTTTAGGAAAAAATAAATTATATTTAATTACCAATTGCTTAATGGTGCAATGCAATCATCTGACCCATAGGTGGCAGCCATCTCAAGCCAGAGGACGAGAGGACTCTAGCCGCCACGCATATAAATGATTTAGTGAAAAACTTTGTTTTTACGGGTTAATTTTTACTCTCCTTTTCCTTAGCGACAGTTTGTGGTGGCGGGCACCTGCCAGTGACGATTGTACACATTCCTGCGGAGGGAGCTGGTAGTAAGTAACGTTGGGTTGCTCGGTCAATGGCCAGGGTCAATGGCGGCGTGGTGTATTCCACGAATATGCCCGACTAAGGGCGGGCACAAGCCGGCGTGAGTAGGTTAAACGTTCCTTCGGAGTGGGCAGGTAGGAACTTTGGACAGCGCGGCGTTCAGGGGGGGGGGGGGGGGGAGTTGGATGATTGGGCGTGTTTACCTTCCCCCCCAATACAAATGCTGATGCAGCAATTCAGAGCAGCCTTTATTTTTACTGCCACAATTTTAACTACAGCTTTAAAAAAACTTCCAATAACATTTACTTCATCTTAAGCCGAGATTACCCCTGCAAGTGCCTACTCAACTCGGGAGATTCTCTAGCCATGTGTCCTCAAAAGGCGGCAGCAATTTTTCTATGGAATATTTTGATAACTTGGCCAGTTCGTGCAACCATGGCGGATTGGACCTTTGATACAAATAATTGTGCACAATACCCAATGGGTGTGCCCATTAAAAAAACGGGACTCGTGTGTAAAGTGCTATTTGAACAATTCACCACCCTGTCAACTTCATGCCATAAAGAAATAGTTGAGAACGGTCCACTTCCTGGACATCACCCACCATCTCTGGCGTTGTCTTCACCCTGGACACTCAGTGCCTCGGCTGCCATTGGCAACTCCTCTGCCAGTGTACACGAGCCCCTTCGCCTCTTCTCCATTACCTCCACTATTTCCAGTCATTGCGGTAGCATCCGGACTTCATGGAAACTGCACCTTTGGGCCTGGGCCCGTTTGTCTACCCAACTCACCAGCGCCATTCATACATTATCACACTTTCATTTGTTAAATCAGGTACCTTGTGGAAACACCATTAATATGGCTTCACCTGAATCTTACGACTGTGTATTGTAAGAGTACAAAGAAAACATCCGATATTAACAGCTTTAGGAAAGTTTAACCCAAACAGGCTTTAAAATGGTTTTATCGACCTGGCCACAAGTATGGAGGAGTCCAGGACTGATTAAGGGGCCAAACCATGGTCTCACGAAATGGTCTCCAAATGGAGCCGTGCTGTTGATCTCAGGCCGTTCATAGGTCGACAAGCACACACCTTGTCAAAATGAGTAGAAAATAAAAATCTACTTTCAAAATTATATAATGGATTCAATAGACTGCCACGTTATTCCGAGTATTCTCTGCGTATGCCTCTGCCAAACAGCGATGTCTGGGGGTGCCCAACACAAATTGCCATGATAGTTTTAATGCCTAAACTTTGACCTACGACAGCATGTTAATTACAGTAACTAATTGCTTGGTCAGCAGATAAGATAGAATCAATACACGCAGACAGCTGGAGAGCAGAATGATTAAGCAATGACCCCTAATTGGAGAGAATTGATCCATCCAGGTCCTGGATAGACGGAGAAGCTTATTAAATAGCATTTTTTACATGCAAAAGAAAGTAGCTTTATTCATATTTGCCATCCCATTAACACAAACGCACCATTAAAGAGCCTTATCAGGGCAATGAATTTCCCAACGTTGATTTCCATCGTGGCAGCACACTTACACGAGCAAGCTTAATCTGGAGACAAGGCAGTAAACTTGGCATTCCTTTTGACTGCGGATTCGAATATTCAGAAAGCACGCATTACCATTCTTGCATGGTAAATAAATGGCATAAGGACAATTTTATAAAAAAATAATTGTTTAGAGATGCAAAGACAACGCAATTAGGGTGATAATTTATTTCACCGTTTAGCTAAAGTACAGACAGGATCGCATCGACCGCCGTCGAAGCGACATTTTTACCAAGAGAACGAGACCGAGCGGTGCCGAACGCGAGCCAGTCGCGCCACACAGACGGCAGCGGACGCGAGCGCGGCGATGGCGAGGAAGCTGCACAGGAGAATCAGGCACCGCCCCGTGGCCGTGCGGGCCTCCATGGCCTTCGCCTGCCCTGCAAGGCCACCCACAGGAACATGGGGCGACTGTTAGGTGGGGAGGGGCACGGTCAGTTTATTGAAATGCGTTGCTGCGAGCTTCCCTCCGGGAGACACGCACATGCTATGTAGAATTATGAAATGCATTGGAGAGCATGGCTTCCAATATAACCATGCAAGGATAATTTTAACTGTTTCAAAGGACTAATATGCCCGCCCCACTTATGAAGCATCCAATGCTTTTAAACACCGGCAAACCCCATCCCCCCCCCCCCCCCCCAGTGAGTACGATACTAACAATGTCCATTTTACCACTCCAATCCTCAGATTCATTTACTCGAAACGCTAGCCAACCAGAGTAATCTCGGATCAATTATACGACGCAGTCCAGATTAATCTGTTGCGCTTCCATCCATACGCCCTTGGCTTCAAAAGGCCTGTCAAATCTTTTTTTTACCACCACTCAAATTGGAAAAATTGCTCCTTCAAATGCCTCTGGATGGTCAAACTTTACTCATTTGTGCTGGCACTTGAGTCCCACTCAATTTAATGATTACAGCAGCATTGTACGGTCTCCCTACCACACCACGGAGTCCCCCACGCTTCTGCAGCATCTACACATGCAGTGCTATTTAGGAACAAAGAATACCAATTCTACTCGAAGCAATCAAGGCACAAAATCTTGCATGCCAATACAATAAAACTCGGGTATTGAAACGAAATGTTCAGATTAAATTTAATCTAAAGAATAATTTAATTGCATTGCCATTACTACTTTGTTCAAACCCATTATGAAAATGAGACTTTGCACAATACCTGTATGACAGGGTTGAGATTTAAAAGCAACCCAAAGTCAATTACTAATCTCGTATAAATATGCATTTAGTTTTCCAATACCGAACCTTTTCGTTTTTAATTTAAAACAGGCAAACTAAAATATCCACAAACAGGCAATTAAGTAGATGCACCAAGTGCATTCATCGACTTGACAGGCGATTTATACAAATGCATGAACCCAGCATGAAAGAGGAAAGCCAAGCTTGCATTAAAGCACTGGGAATTTGGCCAAGCAGCCGATTTTCCTTGTATGGATGGTACACTGGGGTTGCAGCCAGGAATTGAGAGAGGAATGGCCTCCCTTACAATACCAAAATGTAGATGGCTGTTGTTTCAATCCACTGCAGAGTGAGAACCTCCCCGATGGCATTATACGACCACACTTCACACTGGTCAGCACCGATGGAGGTGAAGGCAGGGTATAAGAGAGCTGTGGGGGCCACGAAAGTACGACAGTGCAATTTGCTGCTCTCCTGCTTCCAACCATTTGGGACCCCACAACAGCCTACAACAACCCCCATGTTCAGTGACCACCCCCCATCCAAGCGCTGTCCAGGCTCAACCCTAGTTCTTAAATTAGAAGAGATTGGAGGCGAGCTGGGCGTAGGCTTCACTAGATAAATCTACAGTGAATTGCGGTGATGTAGCAGTGTGTTACAGCGATTATTTTCCTTGCAGTTGAAGGTGTGAGAAGACTTTTCATCATGGCAGGGAGTTTCCGTGTATAACCGTGTGGTGTCGTGCGTGCACCGAGTCTGGGTAACAAGGCGAATTGTGTAATGTGGGCGAGGGGTTTGTTTCATGTATTCAGTATAGCCCTGTGAGCCATGCGGCTCTTGAATCAGGGTGCAACCGCAACAAACAAAAACATGAACGAGGGGTAAGGCCCACGGAGCTATATATTTCTTTCAGAAGTGACCTACCCCTTGCCACAAACGATAGCTCAGGAAGTGGTGGCTTGTGGAAATGTATAGGAGCCAAATACCCTTTAGGATAAACATGCGTTTAATGTGAAAGAAATAAAACCGAAGGACCCAGAAAAAAATCCACGCGACCACCGAGAAAAACATGGAAACTCCAAATATACCAGGTGTCAGGGTCAAAATAAAAACCTCCCGTACATCAGGCGAGAGAGTTAAAATTATTACCGTGGCACCCATGAAGCGGGAAGTGTTGCGAGCATTAAGGATCCACCTGCATACTAGGCGAGGGAGTTAACATCGCCACCGCAGAACCCCCCCCACCAACCCGAAGAAAAATCATAAATCGGGGGACAAGGGCTGTCTACTCTTGAAGGAGGCGGTCGGGTCAGTTAATTTTTAGTAAAGGGTACAAAAAACTCACGGCGTTCGTCGCTGCGCATGTCCGGCTCTCCCAGCGGAGGGAAAATGCTCACGGCACCCGAAGACACCCTGCCGTAGGCCACGCCCCGGGACGGGCCACTGCGGGCTGCAAAGGGACACGTGGACGACAACGAAGATTTCTGGTCCAGGGCTGCAGTTAAGTCAAGTACCACGCTGCACCTTCCAACTAATGGATGCAACAAAGCAACATTGCTCATCACCATCAATAGGCCCAGGAGTGCAAGTCAGTCAATTTGTATGTCCATGCGTGGCGGTGATCATCTCCATAGCAGTCTCCAATAGACAGTGATGGAAATTCCACATTACTAATGCAGGGACCAGTTGGCTTCGGACAATTCATACTTCTCACTAAGGACTTGACAGGAGAATATTAATATATATAAGCAGACAAGTCTCCATTTATCCAATTTTACACAAATCCCATTTGCTCCACAGCCTTCTGAGAATCTAATTTCAGTAGCATTGATGGTAGTCATTCAATGGACCCCTTCTAAAAAAAGGGGATTGACCAAGTCGACCCCCGAATATATTCTACTGAACTGCTATTACAAATGAACAGCGATTGTCCTTGAGCAGACAGTTTCCACCTCTGGCTTCAGGACTACTAATGGAGAGAAGCACCACCCCGTAAATCCGAGTAGCGGCCTTTGAAAGTTAGCCTACCTTTGTAAAAACGTGCGCGCACAGGTTTCACTACAAACCATTTTACCAGGTAAGGCTGGTATAGCGCGTTTTCAGAAGGGACCTGGCCTTAAATGATAGCTCAACGAAGTGGCTTATGAAGTGGAAATGTACATCAGCTAAATATTCTAAACGAGTGGATTTTAAAATGGAGGCAAAACTGACGACCTAGAGAAAAATCCACGTGACCACGGGAAGACGCAAACTCTAACTATATAGGAGTCAGGGTCGGGATCGAACCCACGGACTTTTTGCATACTAGGCAAGGTAGTTTACATCGCCACCGTGGCGCATGACCACGAATGTCTCATTTGATTGAGAATCCAGAATAATGTCTGTTCTTTATTTATATTATCAACATCCAATAATGGTATATGCTTTTTACAAGCAATATACCAAAGTAACAGCTCAAAGACTAAACCAGGCAAGGACGAGCCAGAATATTCTTGGAATACGTAAATACAATTCATATTAAATTCCAAACCAAGGTTTGGCAAAAACAGGTATGACATGTTATTGCATATGTTAAGTCTTCTGCTAACAATTCGTCAAGTATAATCCATATACTTTTTCCAAAGTGCAGTGTAGCATGAAGCTGGCATGGCAGGAAAAGCTGTTCTAATGTAATGAGTAATAGCATCCATCGTTACCCTATGGTACTGCTATTACCCATTTACATTGCAAAGTCAACTTGCATTTAATTCAAAATGCATTTGACCCAAGCCACTTGAAAATGTTGACTTCCTGATAGAGCTCAAATAAAAATATTTCACGAGATTAGAATGTGGGTTTGAGTGCCATTTTTTTCGAGTTTATCCCACTGCCAAAGTTAATTAACATGCAATGTGGTCACAAACGTCAACTCGTGCTTACGAGCATTCACCCTCCAACTCCACTGGAGGATCTCCAGGTAGCGTTGGGAATTCTACATTACTACGGTGGGGAACAGTGCCAGGATTTTACCGTGTTGATATCCCAAACGGTGACGTTGGAGTTTGGAGGGGAATGAACGAGTCCATTCAGCTTTGGGCCAGTATTTGAAATCAAATTGTATTACTAGGGAGCTTTCTAACATAAAGCCATTCTGTTATTAATAACAAGCCTGTTGGTTCTGCAAGCAGTCGAACGTTAAATGAACATTGAAACTCCATTCATTGGCGACACAGCCAGCAATGAAAATGTTACATTCACAGGGTGGCGGCTACCGTGCTTATAATAGATTTCATAACTAATGATATCATTGGACCTTTGTCAGTATGTATGAAAAATCGGTTTTACTCTGGTAATATAACAGGTGTTAAGATGTTTTAATACATAAACCTTTTGCATGGAATCGAGTCGACATTAACCACAGTTTGTGGTGAACATGTAAACATGTTCTGATAATATATGCATTGTTTGTTAACCCGATTGGTCTTGAGACTTCTTTATGGCCTAGTCTTAAGTACATGTGGTTAATGCAGACTTGTTTCATTTCAAAAAGGTTTAAGTTTGGTGTTTGAACGTCTTACCACCCGTTTTATTGCAAAAGGGTAAAACCTACTTATTTTTTACACTATTATAGTGTTGGAACAGCTCGGTGATCAACCCAACTATTTACACTTACGAGGCTGCGTTTCAGGTGCAGAACTAATGTAGACTTACCCACTCGTCTCCTGTTGGGTATACAATCCATCTGACAGACGTCGTCAAAGTTCACAGCGTCACAAACCACCACACTGCAGTGGAAAAAGAGCTGAGGGACAGGGCATTGGTTTCAGTCAGTTGCGAATAACAGTAGCAACGTGGTAGACAATAACGTGTGTTAATACATCATAAAGCTCTGTTAGTTGTGAATCAAGCTCTTTATTGTGCAAGTCCCCCATTTTCTGGCCTCGGTACTGAAACTGCCAAACTATGTAATATACCAGGCTATAATACTGCCAACAAAACTACATTATCTGCAGTTACTCCCAAGTTGCTCAGGAACAAACATCCGAAGCCTATTAATGTCATATGCATCAAGGCTGGGAGGGATGATATTACAGGTAGGAACAGTTCCACACTGCCCACCAGGGATTATTTGTCTGTGTCCGTCGTGCATGGCCCTGCCCAACCAGAGCCCTCCCATTGGCTCGCGGGCGCCGACCAATGGGAGCGGTGGGTTTAGAGGGGAGGTTAGTAGTGGTGGGAGGGATCCGCCGCGACTCGGGCCAATGAGGAGACGGGCGATGTTTCATTCACAAAATGGAACTGGGGGAGGGTGGCTCATTCATAAAATGGAAGCCTTGAAAAGAAAAAAAGGGGATCTTTTTGCCTCGTGTTTCTTTCAACATTCCCAGCCTTAAGGTGAATCAGTTGGGGGTAGGAGGGACCAAGTGGGAAGGGTGGGGCTGGTCACCCCGTGGTTCCCTTATAAAAAAAACTCAACGTTTAACCTACACTTATACAGGTAGGAACAAGCTTCCACACTGCCCACCAGGGATTATTTGTCTGTCTGTCATGCACGAATGCGGTGTCCAACCAAGTTCCTACCTGCCCACTCCGAAGGAAAGTGTTACCTCCAGAATGAAATTCACATCAGCAGGATTCATACCTGGCCCTGGAAGTCCGCCTCAATATCCATTTCAAAAACGAACGTCTTCACCTCAAACCGTTTCACGTTTTGGGGGAAAGGCACACTCGAGTTGTGAGGCACAGGATGGAAAATGGTCAGGTAGTTGTCATTCGCGTTCTCGCAGCTTGCGGCGGGACCATGGGTGGACATGAAAAAAAGAAATCAAAATCAGAATGGCCAAGTTGACATACAAAATTCACGCGTTTTATCTTGAGCGTTGGGTGGTGTTCATTATTTTCAATGGCTCTTTTTTCCAGTTGTGGGTATTACACATTCCCGATGGCAAGGGCTCATTGCTTCTGGGGGAAATACCATTGCCTCTCCACCAACCAATGGTTTTATCACCCTCACAAAACCAATGAGTGCCGGGCTGAATTCCATTAACTTTGAATGCCAGTTAACACCAACTCAATTCTGTAATGGGCAGGAGTGTTTAGCGATGCGTATAATTATGGTACCACTTGTGCATATTTGGGAAAGTCCACACAGTAACACTGGCAAGGGTGGCATTGAGTCAAGTGCGCAATCCTTCATCCCCATGCAGTTTATAAAGTGCATAACTTCGCCACAAAGTCAACAGTCGCTGGGTTTTTCGGATTAGTCCCCTCCTGCCATAGATAAGAATTTGCATCAAGGAGATGCACCTGCCAAAAACACTCAAGCCGGCTAAACACCAATGACCTGACCCACATGTCCATGCACGTACACAATCCAAGTCCACATCTGGACTGAACGACTAGAACCCTGGTGGTGACTGGCCCAACTGTTGGCAATTGAAACAGAACATTTTATACAGTAATGTTGGAAATAAATTCCCAGTAATGATGGAAAACCACAATTGCAAGTCAATTGCAATAAAATGCCCAGCTTCTAAATAACGGCAGAATGTGACACTGGGGTATTTCGTGTCACATTACAACACTGCAATATCTACAAAGGCTCAGTTGCCCGCAGTTCTCAGGTGGCCCAGTACCTGTTGATGACGAGGTCCCACCGAGGTTGGCTGTCTGCAGCAGGCAGGTTGGTGGCCCAGCAATTCTCCAGAAACATCTCGATGCTTTGGTCCTCTAGGCCGAGGAGGCGCACCTCAAAATAAAGAGGCTCTTGCAGATACGATACCACCGGGTACTCCTCATCCAGGTAGTAGGACGTGTAGTCAGCATCTGAAAGCCACGGGATTAATTTAAATTATTTATGCCCAATTAGTTTATCCATGGGACCACAAAGTATGTTTATAGCAGTGACCTCACACATACAAGTGTCCTTTTACCTACTCAGTTAATGCAAGTGATGTTCAGTCACCACATCGCCTTGCTAAATAACGTGATGGGGGCAGGACTCCTCTCCACTGGTGGTCCCCCAAGCTAGTGGTGGAAATTCCATATTCCTATGGAGAGGGCCCCCCATTCTCTGCAGAAGATCACTTCCCACTGGTTCTCATCTTAGCAACTGCCTAGTGACATTATAGCAGTTCTGTTATTGCCAATATGTCAATGTTATGGGTATGGTCAGCACCAAACCTGTCAACCTTTGGCCTCCCAATCCCGATGTTGACATTGTATGGGTACAGATGCCTTTTCCACTTTTGTCATGCACAGCCAAGAATAGGGCCCAGGGTTCGCCAGGATTGTCATCCATATGATTAACTCTTATCTTACAATCCCCGAGGCAGGTGGCATTAGTATGGTCTTGTTAAGGCCTGTACAGTAAAACGAGGTGGAGAGTTGCTAAAACTAAGAACGTCTGGGCCACGCCTTCCCCGTGCCCATCTTAAATACACTCAATACACCAAAGTATTTTAGATAGAGTCAACTTCTGGTATTAGGCTCAGATACCAATGGCCAGAAATCTCAATGTTTCTGCGTGTGTACAGATACAGCCCCCATCGATCTACTGCTGGATGAGGACCTTTCCATGCTATGCCATGAGGGTTATTGAGACCACACTTCACTAGTGGTCAGTGCAGGTCGGTGAAATTTAGGAGCATAGAGGGAGCGGTATTGAGCGGCATTTCCCGACTGCTCATCGGCCAACAACTTGACTCATACCAACATTTTAAGCCACCATGGCAGGATTCCCCCACAAGCATTATGTACACTGTGCAAATGATAGAATTGCAGATTTGCAGTAACAGCTTTATAAAAGATGAATGGTACAATGGCAATTAAGCTGTTAATGTTGGCGACAGACATGGATAATGTTAGGGTTACTTTAACCATACCTTTGAATAACCTGATGTCAAGTTGCAGCATTAAGGGCCCACCAGCTAGTAAAGACAGCAACAGGTTAAAAAGGCAAATAGGTACCTCAAACCAGACATGGCTTTCGTATCAGAGTAGAATTAAATTCGTAGGCACACCAAAAATTATGCATTACATAATGGTGGCAGTTCAAGGTAGTCAGAATGGACCCAAAGGTAAGTTTTTAAAACCTGTGTTTGTTACTCAGACGATGTCCACTGCAAACAGCCGTATTTACATTAGACTGCGTGGGAAGGCCTCATCTAGCAGTGGATTGCCATAAAGGCTCAATTTGTTCTATGTTTTTTCATTCCAAATGGGTCCACTTTGAGCACCAGGAAGCCTTTGGGTCCAGTTTGAGTACCTGAAAGCCTTTTACCACGTAACCTCAGACTAAGTCAATTTGGAGGTTGCACTCAAATCCCAGAGCACTGCACAACCATAGGGTCACCGTGAACACTCCGTTCTGAGTCACATATAAGATTACTCGTACTCAAATTCTGATAGAGAATGTGACTATGGTAAATTGGCAATGTATTCCGTGCGTTAAGTCTTTGGGGCCATTTGATCTAACATAATGTCGCGTGTCTTCACAACCTTTCCAATTGACAAGTTTTGATTTGAAAACAGGAAACTCGAGTAAAGCAATCCAAATGCATCTATAGGTGTCAATGCACCAATAATTATAAAAGGTGACCCCCGTAGCAATACAAGACTGCAATGTAGGCACAAGGTTGGATGGGGTACAGGTGTCAGCGCCGACTGCAAGGTGTCACAATGTGCTCATTTTACCTCTGCTTATTTTCATCACGATGGGCACGGGGACCACTTGCTCGTCAGCAGTGGGTCCCCTACGGGCTTGCACAACGCTGGAGATCATCACCGTGTCGTTGATGCGATAGCGGCAAATAACCTTCAGCCTTTGCAGGGGGATGGTGCAAAAGTTGAACACGTTCAGCGCAAACCATTGGATGGACTATTTATATTTTTTCTATCAGGTTAGGCCTACCGAGCTTCAGAAGCGACCTGGGTCACAAATGATAGCTCAAAGTGGCTCGTCACCTGGAAATTACGAGCAGGCAAATACTCAATGCATGTCGAGTCTAAAAAGAGGGAAAAACCAGGGGAGACCTGAAAGAACATGTAAACTCCATATGTACAGCAGGATCGGGATGGACCCACAATCTCCTGCATGCAAGGAGAGGGAGTTAACATCTTGCCACCATGGCACCAATTAACATCCCACATTTATCTGGGTAAAATGTTACCACAAGTGCATTAGAGCAGCAGTGTTCAGAAAGTGGATAAAGACTATACTGTACATTTAAACTGCTGAAGTACTTTTGGAGAAAGATATCGAAGAATGTTGACCAATAACCCCCCCCCCCCACCCCCATCTGAGCACAGACACATTGGATTGACAGCTATCACACTTCTGCAGTGCCCTGAAAAAAATGTTGATCAGTTCATGGAATAGGTCGATTAATTGATTTACACCACTTCAAAGTTATTTACCGGATATCGCTTTATCACCACGCACCGAAAAAGCAGCTGCTATCTTCCCAGCTCCACGTTCAATACTCTGGAACCCATATTGCGATTAGTTTGCTAATGTAATGGAAACTTGTGTGCCTTCAAGTCGGCTCAGCCGAAGACTTCCCCCTACACGCGCCATCGACTGGCTTAAACACATGAAAGCAAGCATGGTCCCAAGGTTGGGCATTTGAAGATTACAATTTATATGCAAAACACTTTTATAAAAAGGGAGGGAAGGAGACACGGCTTCACCTCGGTTAGAACCGCCACGTTGTCGTTTTGTGCCCACGTGCATTTTTGCTATAAACAGTTAGTTAGTTTCACACAAACAAGTACGTTATAACGCGGAGCGCGCCCGTTTGAGCCGTCGATAACTAATTTCTTGAATTGCGCAGCTGAGAAGTATCGTACAGTAAGTGGCTACGTGCCCTCAATTTAGTTGTCCCGCCATGTGATAAATGCCGGCCGATTTTAGTGTAAATGCGAATCGGCAAAGTGGTTTTTCACTTAAAGCGGGACTTTTTGGGAATCAACCTTGATTAACACGGTGCAAAAGAAGTTCATACTACCACGTTAAATGGAGGGATGAGTGTACTATCACCAGAGCTAATACTGCTAATACCGCACAACCAATGTAGTACAGGCCAGGCGTGTGCAGCATTATCCACCTGTACTCTGGGTCCCTCGTGATCACAGGGCTCTCCTCGGGCAGCAGCTCTTTCTGCAGACTGATCTCGTTCTCGTAAACCAAGAACGCCCCCTCAATCTGAAACGAGGAGGAAAGAGTTGTCTAAACGCGTGAACAAGACGCAACCAATTGCCAACGATGTGTTCAATTCTACCGATAAACATAAAGCAAACAGTTGCAGGTGTGTGCACACCTTTGAGTTTATTGAGTCGTGCGTAGCATAATTTGCAACACTGAACGTTGCAATGCATTTTGGATTCATACATATCTACGCTTTTATTTAATATATATCTACGCATTTAATTAAATTTATTTCTACGTGACTTTAGCTAAAGAACCAAAGAGTAATTCCTGCAGTCACGAAAGCTTCAAATCAAGTTAAAAAAGTATTTCATTAACTCCGTTATATAGGGTGTGTATATGCAAGATGCTGCCATAATCTTACATACTGGAGTTTTAATGCAGAGGTCGCCAGTTTGTATCTACAGCAGCCAAAACAATGGGTCTAGTTTCTCAAGCAACACTCCCATACCTCCATTCAGCACGGCACCAGTTGGTCCATCAGCTGGTTGCATACGGTGCGGGTAGCGGCGTCACCATTCCGACCTTCTCCAAGGCACTTGGTCAGTATGGTGTGTGGTAGGTCAAATAGCCTCAAAACACCCTCTAGTAGAGGCCCTTCCTCCAGTAGTGGTGTGGAGCAAGCACAATTGCAGAACTGCCAACATCTTTAAATTCTAAACGTTATTGTACATTTTAGCTAGAGTGTGTAACCTTGGTCCACATTCCCACCAGGCGTACAGAGCTGGGGGGGGGGGGGGGGGGAGATTACCGTTCTTGATGTACCACAGCTCGAGACTGTGAACACGAAGTAGGCCTTGGTGGTGTTGACATACACCGGGCCACACGAGCGTTCCCTCAGGGCGAGTCGCCACAGGTCCACCTCTGGCTTCGTGTGGCCTTTGGGGGCAGCCACGGCCACCGTGCCATTCGGAAAGCAGGCTGTGGAGCACAGGAAACGTTGCCCATTAGAGAAATTGCTTTTTGAGCACATGTACCTCAAAAAAAATACATTGGCCATGCACCAAATTGCGCTGTTGGACAAGTATTGTTGAACTCTCAAGGCCGGTTGAGGCGCAAATGAGGGCACGTTGTCCCAGTACCACATTGGGTCTTCCCTCAAAGCAATGTAGTTGCCATAGTCTCTCGCAAGAATAATGGTTACTCCAAGGTTGTAACCCACCACGTTAGGACCCATAGCCCTGTTGGGCCTTGCGAGTTTAAAGCCAGGGATAAAATTGTATGGACCACTCCACAGCTCTTAAATAAAAGACCAACCCTCACATGTAACTTTTGAAAGGCCACATTAGCTTACCTATTACATCGGTGGTTGGAAATTGGCAAGAAACGGAGAGCTGGAAATTTGTTTCATGTGTAGTCGGATCCACGAGCCTCAATTGAAACTTGTATTTAACAAAGGACACCGTCACCTCCTAATGACACAATGGGCAAGAGTGAAAAGGTTCATTCAAGTGCTAATCTCAATTGCATCTTCAGAATGGTATTAGTATATTGCACACAACCGTACTAAAAAGGCCCAAGTTAAAGGATATTAAAACAAATCATAAAAATTGAGTTTTCTTTGCCGAGACAGATGACATAGGCGACCACACCATGGAAAGGGGCCAATTTACATTGCAGACATTTCTGACTTTTCAGAGTGGGGAAACTTCGTGAGCCCTGAAGGATGAACAGCGTTTACACCTGGCCGGGATTTGAACTTGAAATCTATCACATTGATGGCATGCTCCACTAACTGTGCCATCTGGAGACAACTCCCCAGCATGGCACGAGCACTCACCGCCACCACCTGCAATGGCGAGTGAGCTCAAGAGTTCAGGCTCTTGGGAAAAGCGCTATCGGCTCTTACGTGATTACTCATTTTATATAAACCTGGGGGAGGGAGGGGGGGGGGGGACCAAGTCACCCCCTGACCAGGATACAAGCTTACGACTTTAATTGTGAGTCAAGTGCTACGATGTAGCATTACTTGGTTGGCATCGTCTAAAATGCAACCACTGTTTGCATGCTGTTAGACTTGAAAGCAGCAAGAGTAGGATGCTATTATAAAAAGATCCCACATTTATCTAGCACGTTGGAGCATGTGCTCGTAACAAGGGCCTATTAAGGCCTGCATGGCCACAAGGGGCGGTGTGGGCCAGTGCCAGGCAATCGTTGTCTAACTAGTGTCAATGTTTATACACCACATGCTCATTGAGATAAACCATACATTTTCGAGTCACGAAGTTTCGGAACTGGTTCAGACGCCAATTGCCACAGGTTAGCTATGGCTAGGAATCAAACCTGTGTTATTAGGACTGCAGCACAGTGTACGGAGCACTGACACCTTCAAAACAAACACACAAGCCAACAGTAAAACATGTGAAGGAGTACGGTAGTTAGTGTGCAATAGGGGTTGGGGCGTGCCTCAATTATCAGGCCCTTTGCATCAGGTGGCATGCTGATGGAGTAGTGTGTGGCGTTGCGGGAGAACGTGTATCCCATTTGCTCCATGGCATCGCTCGAGAGCCATGTGTCTCCCACGAAGAGTAGCGTGGAAGAGTCCAGGCTCCCCGGCTGCACCACCAGGATGAGGCTGCTCGTGGTGCACATCCCATATGCAACCGGAAGCACTGCCAAGGGGACCGGGGGGGGGGGGGGGGAGATATATTGGTGTTTGTAAGAGGCCACAATTTAAAAAGTTTAACTATCAACCATTGTTTTTGACCAGGTACAGGTGAACCAATCCGGACGAGCCAATAAGTTGCAATTAAAACGATCATTTAATTGGAAGCCCCCCACCCCCTACCTTAAGCCACTCAGGGCCCAAATATAAGAATGGCTTTGCTTGTTTATGCCTAGCACCACCGACTTCAAAGTCATTAACAGTGCCTTAACAAAAACCAGTGGGATATTTTGGCAGTGGACGCTTTTTTCAGACTACAACCGTTACCCATTTGTTGAAGTTAATATTTGCTATGGAGGGGCCATTTACAAAATCATTGGTCTATAGTAGATCATAAAATTGTGTTACGAGTGAACGTGGGTGATAATTGTACACAAATTCCAGCACTGTCCCCTTAGCAGTGGCATCATACAAGTCAGACTTCCTGGATTAATATTCCAATTTCCTGCATCTTATTTGGGATGCTTGACGTAGCCACGAACGAAGCGTCAAACTTAGTTGCCAAGTTTGGTTGTGAAAATACACGCGCAAAAATGTGCTTCTCAAACATTTGCGCACACGTGACAATTTAACGTTTTAATTATTTGGCACATCAGCTGGAGGGGGATCTTGACAAAAAGTTGACCAGATCACCACGTGGGTCCAACCCATACATATATAAAAGTGCTATTAATCTACAAGTGTCAATTTAAAACGTGTACCAAACGAAATTTAAACTTACCGACATCATTTATGGTGCACGATTGCTGGACTGTTGTGATGTAATACTGCGCCTCGGTATCCAGCAACACAAGCTTCACGGCAAGCGTGTACACATGCGTGGTGGTGTCCACCAGGTACTGGGGTTAGACAGGGCATGTTTCAACTGTTAAGTTTAATACCGGTTGGGATTTGCATTGCACAAGGTGAAATTTCAAACGTGTCCAAACACAACCAGATGCTAAAAATGGTGTAAGAGGAGGGATGTTTGGACCAAGTAAAACCAAATATGCCAGGTAGAATGATTACTTACTGGTTAAGGGTTAAAGTGGACTTTGCAAAGAAACTACAAAAGCTTCTGGCCTTGAAAATAGTGACATGCAAAAAAATGGTTTAAACATTGGCACAAGAGAACTGGCAAGACAGAAAATTGGCACAATGTTTGTTATTGGCAAGTCATGGAGGACTGGGCACTTGGGCATTGGATGCACTCAGATGAAGGTCGACAGAAATGTGTTGCTAATGTGCAATGTTGTGCTTCTCTTCATGCACGGTGGGATTTCTGCATAGTTCAGTTTCCTACAAACTTTATAATTTGGAATTGGCCAAATATCCTAAGCATGACTTGGCAATATCTGGCTCCTTCCCATGGTAAGCGTTATACTGGCACCTCAGGTGCCACCAACGGAGATGAGAACTGCAGTGGTGACATTATTAGACCGGTCCTGCAAATGCGTAGACCGTTCAACAGGACCAACCTGTTTTTCCACCACCTTGGCACTATACGGGATCTCAAGCACCAAATAGAATGCATCCGGACTCCACGGGACAAGCTGTTGGTGCAGCTGATAGTCCAAGGCCTCGGCGCTGCGACACGGAGCCTGCACCGATTGGAGCAGCAATAATCCCTCTGCGTCCTGGTCGCACACCGTGAAGGTCTCTGCACCGATCGTCAAGTTAACGATGGAGACTCCATTCAAAAACAGCCCCATCGTGATCGCAAAACCAGAATCTGTACACACATCATCTGTGGACAAAAAAACGGACACTTTTAGTTACGTAGCACAGAAGCATATCAGTCGTGCACGGTGCCACCGATTAGGCGCACTCACAAAATGCAGTCAAGGTTTAAAATGGTTAATGCACTAATCGATTTACTCGCTAAAGAGAATTTTGCAAATACTCACTTAAGGTAAAAATGACACTGCTTGCATGCATGGTCAAAAGTCGAAGCAGCTTTGAGCTGAAATTAGTGCAGTGGTACTCGTCACCTGTTTATAGCCAAACCAGGTGTGTAACTTCCAACACGTGTGATGGAGGCAAGTCAGGCCATAGCACAAGTATTGTAAAATTTCTACAACAAGTTCGGTTATTGAGCCTGGAGGGATGAACGGGCAGTCTTAACCCATCAACTGGGACTTGCGCTCACACCTGTTCGAGTTGTAACGTCGTTACCATTGCCAAGACGAAGTACAATAGCGTTAGACGTTATTCAGTGCCCCAAAGTGGAATGTCTACTCGTTAAAGTGCTGAAACTTTCAAACAAGCATCGAATATTTAAACTTTACATTAAATTAAACTTGTCCAAATGCATTAGTCACGTATTAAGCTTTTCATCTGTTGCATCTGTGCATATTGGATGCACTTCACCACACCCAGGGAACAATTAACATCTCTAAGGTGAAGCCGATGACCTGGGGATCTGTTTATTTTGGTGAAGTGGGGGACACAGCTGAGCTATAAAAGGTCCCACAGAACTGCTCAACCAAAGCTATTCATACTTTGAAACTTGCATTGCCTTTGTACCGTTCACCTTTTGGCGTTCTGGTATAATAATGACCGTCTCTGGTGTAGGCCAATCCGTTTAAAAGACAATGCATATATTAGAGCACGTTTAGCAACACGTGTGGTTAATGCACACTTGATGCCTTGCAATAGGTGTCCATTTGGTGTTTGAACATCTTAACACCTGCTTTATTGCCACAGAGGGTAAAGTAGTATTCTTATTTCCATTATTTGTATACTGGCTACAAGGTCCCATAGATATCTGGTGGCCCTTGCTGGGGGGATGTTGAACGTCACATGCACTGGAATCGTGCAGAAATGTGGGCATCAATTATTTATTAGATTTATCTAGCGCCTTATTCCAAGGCTCTTTACAAAAACTTAAAATTGTACAAAGTGATTGAAATAGTGGGGCTATATCAAAAGTGGTGTGAGTTATGGTGACAATTAGGAAAACAGGTGGGAGTGATTGAGGGGTTGTGAAATGGTTTGGCTAGGCCTGGTCGTGGCTGGGAGTAGCAGCAGGATGGGCTAGGACAGGGGTCGGCAACCTACGGCTCCGGAGCCGCATGCGGCTCTTTACGGGCTGCTTCTTGACGATATGTACGTATGTACAGCATGTACTCAGATGCATTGCGGCTCTTGAAATACTGAATTTTGTACCGAATTGGAAAGAAATGGCTCTTCTTGTTATTTTGGTTGCCGACCCCTGGGCTAGGAGAAAAGATGGGTGTTGTTTTAAGGGAGGAATGGAAGCTGGTTGCTGTAGGTGAACATGCTTGTTTAGTGCTGCAGGAGTTGCAGTGAAGAGGAAAGCGTGACTGGGCACAGGGCGAGAGGCACAGGGGAGGTTAGGAGTGTAGAGGATGGAACACAATGAGGTGGGAGGGCAAGACCATGGAAGGAATTAGACTACAGGACATTTAAAAACAACAGCAATAATACAGAGCCAGTGGAGTTGGGGAAAGTCGAGCGTAAGTGGATAGTGGGGTAACTTACTAATTATCAAGGCAGAGGCATTTTGTATCTGTTGAAGAGGAGTGAAGGCATAAGCAGGAAGGCCAGGAAGTATCGTTGAAATTACCAAGGGGAGAGTAAATGAGCGAGCGAACCCGGACTTCAGCAGCAGCGTGAGACGAGGGGCAGATTTTGCACTTATTGGATAGGTGGCAGCAGCGAGTGTGAGTAAAACGGCAGAGATGCGGTTGGAGAGGGAGGCGTCAATGACCGAGGTTGCAAGGAGAGGAGACCGTAGTAGTGGGGGAGAAGGGGGGGGGGGAACTGAGATGGTAGGGCAGGGTGGAGGGAGGTGTGGAAATGTAGGGTCATGATTCAACTTTAGAAATCAAGTCTTGATTTTGCATCTAATATTTCACTGAATGTCTCATTTGTACATGATTTTTTACCATTAGCCAAACTCGCATAATTAGCAGTACATCTTAAATAATTCCATGACTCTGCATGTATTGCACACGAGGGGATTTTAATTCGATACATCGGTCACACCTACCAGTTCCATGTTCGTATCACATCCTGGCGACGGTAAGAAGTTCGTGTTTTTTCTGCCACAAGATGCTAACGTCACAATATTTGAAAATTCATCACCGGCTGGTATCTCGCACGTTACTTGGTGCTATGGAGACGAGTACTGCCGTGAAAGTGAACGGCTGGAAGAGTGATGCATACTGCACCTTGCAGCCGAATTTCTCGGCAAGGGCAGCTTCCCTTGGTTGCAATCATAATCCTCGTGAGGTCCCAGACGTCATCGGTCCACAGATGCTGGATCTGCAGGTCGAGGATGTATTCCATTCCGAAGTGCCAATTGACCCAACAGCTCTGCAAAGACAAGGCATTGCTCAAAAACATCATTAACAAAGTTAACCTTGTCTATTTTCATTCCAATAAATGAAAATGTTTTAATCCATGCAAGACTATAATAAGGATCTTTCAGGAGTCTCATTATTAAAGCTATTGCTGAGTTGAAGGGGCCGACGACAACTCAAACATTTCGATTTAAAGCTTACATATTTCAGATAAAATAGTTAAATATTGTGCCTTAAGGAAGAGTGTTCCAAATCACCTAAAGTACACCCGAGTATGAAGCCCAGAGGTAACTTTTTGCCACCATCTGCAAAAATTGCCCTCTGTACAAATGTATAAAAAGGAGTGTCATTTGAATATTAACTTATTTGCAATCACAATCTTGCATACAAACGCACTCCGATTTAGAGTCCACACAGACCGAGTAGCGTTCGATTGCCAGCAATCCCCTGTAGCCATCTGACGTTGAGTCACATGCATCGGGTTCGAGTCACACCAAGCTATAAGGAGCAGCAGGATGCTGGTGCTCCTCTCCACTGGAAGCCCCGAGCCAGTGGTCAAACGTAATTTGCATATGATCTGTCACTTCACACAATCGCCAATGATGCAGACTTGCCACTGGTTGGTGTTCATTGTATTGGCCTTGGATCAATGGTGGGAAACAAGTCAATCATGCATTACACACTTTTCATTTTTTATTCTACCTACGTGACTTTACCGGAAAAACAATGGAAACAAATAAATTAAATCGACGTTTCGGGCGCAACACAAGCGTCCTTCAGGTGGGGACAACCTAGCGAAAGCACAAACGCTTAAGTGTGTCTCAGATGGCTGTGACGAGGGATTATAGTTGCGGGGCATGGAGGAAGGGGGGGGCCATGGTGAGTGTGGGGAGGCAAAGTTGTGAACATTGGGGGTGCGCTGGGAGGCAAACGATTGGAGCCAAAACTGAGGCTCTGTGATGTAGATGGCGGAAGTAGCTAAAGCAAGCTAGGATTAAGCCGCCTTTTGGTTATGCTACCGGGTGGGTACATTCCAAACGCAGGCTAACAGCGTGTAAAGTTCAAACTGAGATGTTAAAAGCTAAAATAACGTGTGGTAATGGTGATGGTAGTATGTGGAGCTGGGGGGGTAAGACTGGGAATATGGATATGTTTAAGAAAATATATCTAAACTGGCCGTCTAGCAGTAAACTGCATGGTAGCTAAAGTTTAACTTGGTTAATTACATATTTCCAATGATTGCTCAATTTAAAACCATCCTCTCGGTTGAAGTTGTGTATGTTTGTAGATCTGGATGGCTTCATGGACAAATCTTTGGTAGTATCCAGGAGGTTTGCAGAGTACTTTGGGATCGGAGAAAACAATATCACGAGAACTGAACCCCCAGCATAGCTTGCGCAAACAAGTGCACACGACGGACGTTTGTTGCCACGAACCTTGTTGAAGCCGCCTTCCGCCCCCCACGGCACCGACAATGAGGTGGTGGCGTTCGTCTGCGTCAGGACGTAGCCCCTCTGGCCCATTGTGGTCGAGTCGACCTTCTTGAAGTCGACCCACACGCTCGTCTCTATGTACTCCACCTCGGCCAAGTGCAGCACCAGCGGTTGCAGGATCCTGGGCAGAGTCCACACGATGGCTTGTTCCGTGCACTCCGGCTCTTCTGCAGAGAGGATTGTTCACTCAACTGGGGATGTGTGGTGTTTGGGGGAGCACCACATTTGCAAGTTGTCTAAATGCAATCACATTTATCAAGGAGATAATGGTACACCTACACATGGTTCCATTTTAAAAGCAGATTCAGATTATTTCAGAGAATAATTAGCAATTCGGTAAATTATGGCAATTTGTTGAAATTTGAATTTCAGCAGAGGACAGGGGAAGGCAGGGCAATCGTCTCAGCTGGTTGTGGCGATGACAGCTACTCCCTCATTGCATAGACCATGCTACATAGGGTTTAACGTTCAGACAAGCGGTTCTGAAATTCATATCACCCAAACAAATTGTTAAGGTTAATAACTTGATAATGTGGCATGACTAATGGAAGTTAAAACCCCCATCTATTTTTTTATAATAAAGTGTCACTTACATTTAAATTATTTGGCCGCTATACATTTCCACCCGATAAGCCACTTCAGCAAGCTACCACTCGTGGCCAGGTCGCTTCTGGAGCGGTCAATAGCTCATTGGGCTTTGTGGTCAAGTAAAAAGTTTCGTTTTGTCCAAGTTTAGTGATTTGCTTGCATTTCCTAGACTTTGCACTCCTACCTTGTGTTAATATTGCTTGTTGGAACGTTCTGCCCCCTACTGGGCATCTGAAGAAGAGCCTCATAGGTTATCGGATTCCTCCAGTAAAAAATATTGATAAACAAATGGATACAGCGGGGCAAGGTGTGGGCACTTTCCACCTTTTCAGGAGGAATCAGACCAGGGTGGAAGAGTAGGCCAAAATAAATTATGAAAAAGGGCTCCCTCCTAGTGGAGGTCCTTTTGCCAGCAGTGACACAATCACTGACATTTCAGGGATGGACTTTCGCTCTTGTCACTACGGTACTGGGGACCGTCCAGCGCCGAGCACACTGTGAATGGGCAAAGCTGGTTCCTCTGCACCCATTAACTCGCACAGTAGGCAGGTGGTGCAATGGATATATTTAACTAGTTAAGTCACCATTGGAGACTTCAGTTGTGTTTTAAAACGGATTCTGGGGTCAATGAGCGACAACCAAACCCAGCGCACAAAACTAGCACAAGCGATGTACGCAATTTTGCAGAGAAAGGTTACGGGTGTAAAATAACATGTCAAATAATTCACAAATACTAGTTGGTGTTACAATAAAAGAAAGTAATTCGACCACACCTAAAAAGGGACCAAAAACACGGGTCACTTACGTACAGGGCAGGCAGTCGTCATATCAAGGAGGAATGCCGACCACCTATCCGCGTAGTACACAAATGGTCTTATAACATCAACCAGCGTGCCTTCAATCTGTCAACAAAACAGTCAAGATGAATCTTCTTTACTGAAGTACAACTTCACTTCCGTATTCACTTTAGTTTTTCAATTAGACGTTAACAAGCTGCTATATTAAATTAACATATCAGGTGCACTGCTCATTTACGGATGCAAAAATGTTATTTTGATAACAAAGCGGTAGAATCTCAACGACATTTTTCGGCTGTCGGTTTGCGTTACCATCATAGAAGAGCTTTCATTCGTAAAGTATGGCGATCGAAAAACCACTCTGGCGTCAGAGCTGTTGACCGCGTATCCCATTTGAAAAGCTTTCTGGATATCGACTTCAAATCGGCTTCCATTGTTTAACCTGAAGAAAATCTTCCAAACCTGAGCAGTATTCATAATCTGCAAAAAACATTGAAAGCAGGGTCAACGGGGACACGTCAATACATTTTATTTTAAAATGTAAATTTATACAAAGTATATCCACGCTCGAACGAGTGATGGGCAGTCCCCCAGGACCAGCAGTATAACTCTACATGATCAGGAACAATCTTAGGACACAAATGCAACTTCCTCCCAGTTGGCAATTCAATCTTATTTGCCAAGACTCTGAAATACTCACATTTTTACAAACCTGCAATTGTCTGCATATACATTATATTACGGAACACCAAATGATGTAATCACATTCCATTACTTAGCATCACCACCTTGAGTTGCAAATGTCGCACGTTAAGAACCAGTTGGCCAGTATAACTCTGACAGAGTACATTTAAGTTACATCACAACTGTAAAAAAGGCACTACGAAGATTCTCCAATGTCGTGTTAATGCTCAGAGGTTAATAAGGCAAGGCTCTCCTTCGTACATCGGTCTAAAAAAATAAACGTACACTTTACCCATTCCATCAACGACAAAGCCTTTTGGGAGAGCAGCGTGGGTTGAACACACGCAAACTCTGGACCCCTTTCACAAAGTCTCACATCAGCCGTCAGCCTTTCTTGAACTAATGTTGGTGAAACTGCCGAGATTATAGGCAAGGACCCTTTAAATTTCGATTTAAAGCTTTCATGACTGCAGGGATTCATCTTCTTGGTTCTTTCGGTAAAGTCACGTAGAAGGGAAGTAATAAAATAATAAAAATAAAACATAAAATAATTCTCACGACGTTTCGGCCACAACGCAAGCAGCCGTCCTCCGGTGAAGACCAGGTCTGTCGGGGAGACAGCGTCTGAAATTCAGACGCGTTGTGGCCGAAACGTCGTGAGAATTATTTTATTAGGTTTTATTTTTATTATTTTATTACTTCCCTTCTACGTGACTTTACCGAAAGAACAAAGGACCCCTTTCTTTAAGACATGTTGTAAGCGTATTATTTTAATGGAGGAACAGCGAGAGATATGGTCTGCTTATTTTTTGGGTAATTATATTCTCCACCATGGCATCAATTATCTTGTGCAACGGGTTAACAAGCTGATATTAATGTGAAAACAATGGCCCACATTGAATCTCGTGGCATTACATACTTGATCACTACCTTTACGAGGGGACATTCAAAAGAGCTCGACCATGTGAATCTGGAACTAGCGGCATTGTGCATCCACAGTAAAAAAAAAAACACCAAGCGCCGAAAAGTCAACGAATGCATTTCAGTTTTCTACCACTAAAATCAACTGAAGGAATTTCCCTGGCCAAGTACTATGTACAGAATAAAGTAAACACCTATTGCATATATTACTTCTACACACAAAACGTATTTTATTACACACCATTTAGCTGTACAAGCCCTCTTAGAGTGCTTAATTTCAGAGCATTGAGTGAAGAGATGCACATTCTGGACCAGTTTCGACATACAGAATCTCACCAGCAGTACCGTTTGCTTGAAATGCTAGTAAACTGCCCATCTTACAGGCAAGGATACTTTTATAAGAGTTCTATATTGTATAGGTCGATACGAAATTATACAATACACAATTCAAAATAATCTGGACAGACGTTACAAGTTGCTATCCGTCACGCCATACGGAAAGTACCCAGTACACACAACTTTGGACCAACATCCGATGTCCGCTGCGCAGTAGATCCATCCGCTACTACCAGTCATTAAAATTCACTCACCATATTAATATCAAAATCATCTTGCTGTACTTCAACGTCTGGGATGTTTGGAGAGCTCCTACTGATCGACACCTAAAAAGAGCAACATTACATTTACGAATGAAAGCAAGATCAAGAGTCACAGCATTCTTGTACTAGACAGTACCAGCACAAAGGTCACATCCAACTTGCCGGGAACAGAGGCCAAGGCAGCTTTGGTACACCCGGCACAAAAAGTCCAAAACTGCTTTAAAAATAATGGGAAAACGCTTAGAAGTTAAGAATAAAGTAGTGTACATTACTGGTTTGCACCAGAAGTTTTATTTGAAAAAAATAAGCATAAATCGTCCACCAGTTAATTATCAAGTCGGCAGTAATTTGCAATTAGTGGCTTGTCAACGGACAGGAGCATATAAAAGATTGTGCTACGGATCTCTTGTGCAGCCCACATTAAGGGTTGATTGGACGAGTGATTGTAGCGCCAAGCCTGCCTCCGACAGTCAGTCACTTGCTTTCTGTAGCCAGGGCAGACCTGGCACGCGACATTGTCACATTAATGGGTGGGGGGCGATTAACTGGTCAAGGCAGACACCCAGTAAACATGGGACACACGTTGGGTCAACGTTTGTCCAATGGTGCCATGTAAATGAACGTGAGATAAAAAAGTCAACTTTTTTTTAACAAGTTAGACTTATGAAAATCTTTAGAAGGTAGTTGCACCTTAAAATCAAGTCCAATGGGTGTGGGGGGAGTTGGTCAGAGTGGATATGAGTGGTTGGGTTACTGCATGTACAGCGATTCTATACAGCAAACAATAAGGTGGGGCCACACCTCCCGGAAGTTTTCTGCGCACAGGATTTCACGCTGAGCCCAGACGTAGTTGGTCCTGCATCTGGTCGTGTACGGAATAATAGAGACGTTTTCAAGCGGATTCTTGGGATAAAAAATCCATACCGTTTTCAGCACTTGGTCAGAGCCCTGCATGACATCGAGAAGTGGGGGGGGGGGGCACACTGAAACGCTGCTCCGCAGGAGGGGGCATCTGCCAAATCACGTGCACCAATCAAAAACATTTTGGATTATTCGATTGGTCGGCTACTCAAGCCGCCAGTTCACCGGCCGATTTGCCCATAGACAATGCACGCGATGGTTGAGCACGCATTTGGCCAGGAAACCGTCGTTTGTTTGTTCATTGGAACGAGTCGCTTGTTACATAATAAATAGTAGGTGTTTTTTTATTTAATATTAACGGTCAACTCTTTTTTTAAGTCATATTTGTAATGTACAGAACCTTTATCATCCCACTGCTGGATTAAGGACTCTCCACAATAGGGTTGCTAAGTCGATAGACAATAGCCAGGATATTTCAAAGCGTCAGTTTCGCCAAATAGTTCAATGAACATATTGGCTTTATACCGGTGGCAAACGGAATAAATAAAAAAACTTATTTTTTCCCATCAATGATTTATTTTCCTTCGATTCACAGCCCCGGTCAGAAAATGTAGTGGGTAGTGCATCAAAATCAGTTCTCTGAAGCAGTCAGAAGATGAATTTCGGTTCAAATTTAGATTTTAGACTTTTATGAGGACCGGTGTGTTATGCTGCAATGGTGTACTGCCAAGTCCATTCACATCAATCACCATTCAACTTCAGTATTTTATTTCCAGACCTCCAATATAGAGGAACACTGCACCATTGCTCAGAATGAGTCACAGGTACACCATTGCTAAATGTCAAGTGTAGATTCAAGCGAATACCACACTATTAGCTTACATGGCAACGCTCCAATGTGGAAAACGTTTCGTATATATGTCCGGCTATATGTACACACCCACTACACACTTGGGGCAAGTGCTTTTCGAAAACACCCAATAGTATGTGACCGGAACCATATCTCCAACTTTCTTATGCTAGTCTTATTTTACAACAAATTTCTAGCCAAATTCAACCCAGGAAATTACAGGACAAGCAAAAACAAAGTGATGTCATGCTTGTTTAGAAGTTGAACCCCAGGTAGCTGGGCTTTTAGTACAACAGATAAATGTATCGATAGTATCCAATATTCTGAATAGAAATATTTAACTCTCAATGACAACACTATCTAAGAATGCTTATTTAGATTCCCTACATGACCGATTGGTACAATGAGAAGAAAGCACACCATAAACAGAGCATGTAACCTTACAAAGACATCACGATACATGGTTGATGGGTAAAGTTTGTAATATTGCTTCAAGGTCAACATGTCATCATGGGCATTGGCGTCACTGCCTTTTAGATCTCCCACATCTGCTCTCAGTAGCTCACCATCTGGTACCAGATTTTCTTTACACCCCCCCCCCCCCCGGTGATCAGCTTGGTGCATCCATTCACCATCACCACCCTCTGGACCCTGGCACCACGTGTATGCATTTCCAGACAATGAATGGAGAGTGCGGGGGGGGGGGGTGGGCGAACAGAGCACCTGCTGGTACACGTGGCAGCTCGTCAAGGTGGCCCGCAATATCAGCGTGCCGGTGTAGCTCGTGTGGAATGTGTAGCCGCACTGTGTGGCAAAACGCGGCGTCAGGAGGTGCAGGCCTTGTGACCGATCTGGCAGGGGGCGGGAAGGGGGGGGGGACAACAATCGGTAGCATCATCATAACCGTATGGGACCAACGCCGACAGCAGTAGCAGCTTGGTTACATCAATGAGCCAATGATCGCATGAGGTCAAAGCACGCCTGCAACCCAGCATTCTAAGTGGGGTTGGAGGACCAAGCAGATGTGCTTGAGAACCGAACCTGCTGGGCTGAGAAACAGCTAAACAAGGTAGCGAAGCAAGTAGGATTATAAACTGCTCGTGCTTTAGAATTATTATTAAAACAGTTTTACCATGTGAGGACCACCGAGTTACGTAGCTTGACCTGGTCACCAGCGATAGCTTAACAAAGTGGCGTATTACGTGGAAATGTACAGCTGCCAAATAATCTAAAACGCATGTAGATATTCTTAAATAGAGGGAAAAACCGAGAGACCGGAGAAGTCACCCGGCCACAGGGAGAACGCCAAGTACAGGCAGAATCAGGGTCGGGATCGAACCCAAGCCCTCCTGCATACCAGTCGAGGGAGTCAACAACGCCACTGCGACACCTCAACACCAACACAACCTGGCACACAGCTCAAGAATAATGCAAGAGGAGAGCGCTTGGTTTTGTTTCCTGGTGCGTCTTCCCCTCCGAAACACCATCGCCGTTGTTAAACTGCACCCCAACCCGAATATTACCTTCCACAGAGACATTCCAGGAACGGCCGTTGACGAAGGAGGCATTGACGGATGTTTCTACGAAGCTTCCATCACAGGCAGAATCAACGATTCCTGCGGGCACACGGCACCGCTCGCACAATCACCGACAAAGCATCCTCGCGAGTGTTGTGCAGCGGGTCCTCAAGTGACACCAGATGCGCGTTCATTCCCACCGAGACTTTCACCAGGGTAAGAAGTCATTGAGAAGGACAAGCATTGTTTTTCAAGGGCCGATGTTGGTCAACGATGTACGACAGGCGAGTGCCTTCCAGACAAACGTAAAGAGCTAAAGAGGTCGAAATAAATTCAGTCCCACGTCAGCATAAAAAAACCCCACAAATTGCTAAAGCATGCAGTGCATGTCACTGTACAGGCATAGTGCCACGGCATGCGCGAAAATATATATGAACAGGGGCAGCAAAACTCAGAGGTGGAAACAGATTGGCAACAATTGCACTCCAAACGGTCTTTCAGTTAGTCAAAACAATCAAATATAGGATGGGAGGGCTATTAACTTCAGAAACCAAAATATGTATTTATTCCAAGTGCATCCAATGTGCTCTAAAGCTCTTTCACAGATGTCCAACTGGACACGGGACACCGTTTCAAGGTTTACATCATGGGTGAGTACGCAATCTCTGAATTTGGTAGAAACTAACATTATATAGTCGGTAGGTGTCATGATTAACCGCTTTTGATAAATTGTCCCTTTGTCCCCCATGCGCTCATAACATTGGCACGTGCTTAATCATGGCGAGGGTCACATTTCACGTGCAGAATGCTCTTGAATTTCCCGGTTTGAATTGGATAATAATCAACATCGGCGAGTTACTCCATGTCACGAAGTATTTGTCATAACTGTGCGGTTACGAGGAAGGTAGCCGACTACATGCGGTGGAAACCACGCCATGCAAATGTCAGCATCTTCAAATAAAGCATTAAGAGACGTTCATCTCCCGAACCCAAGGCCTGAAGTGGAACATCCCCGATGATTGTAATAATATTCATCCCCCCCCCCCATGAGTGTGACGCTGTTTGACTTCCCACGCTGATATTTAAAACCAGACGAACTGCGCGAGTGTGCAGCTGGAAAAGATAACAAGCAACGCAAACTAGCACGAATTTAAACCACGAGTCGAGTTGTGTTAAGAAAAGTCTTCATCAAGGGTGGACTTAAATCGGCGGAGGCAGGAAACCCGTTCAGAGGGACTCGTGGAGAGTTGTAGAGGTCAAGGAAAGCAGAGCAACCTCCAATAAAACCAAGGCTCACGGCGAGAGTTGAATCACGGCCACCATTTGCTGGAGTGACGGGAGAGAATTAGGCTAGATGAATTGAACTGCAAGCCAGGCGACACTATGCATCATTTTCTCTGATAAACAAGCTGTTACTTTACCAGAAGAATTCCCTTCAGCAAATGCGGACCGAGTTGTCAGCAGCAGCAGCAGCGGCATCAGCCTGAAACGGAGAGAAGCTTCGGGTAGTGTCCAATACAGCAGGACATGCGGTTAACATATGGACGCATCGTACACATTAACTTAAACCACGCTTGAAATACTCAAATACACCACGTGAAATGCGTACTGCACACTCAGAGCACATTTTAGAGCTAATTTCAAACGGTTGTCCTACGCAGCGCGCACCCTTGAGACAAGGTGACGGAAGTCTACACTGAGGCAGACTTCAGGTCAGGGGCCTGTCCAACCCTCTCTCCACTTGTAGAAAGCCGCCTATCCAGAGCCCCCAAGCTCGCACAACACACACTGCCTTTACAGGGACTCTTCTGCTTACAAACATCCGACTAACGAACTTTCAGAGATCCGAACAAACCTGTCCGGATGTCTAGTTGCCTCTTCAGACCGAGTTCAATCACCGTGCAATAGATGGCGGTGGTGGCATCTACAGGAGATTTTTACAACTTTTGAAGTCATTCCCCGTGTTTAGTATCCACGCCATACGACGTTTGGAATGGACGAGTAAAGTTGAACTTGGGAACAAATAGATTTACAAATAAACCTCTAGAACCAAATTCGTTCATAAGTAGAAGTCACTGGATATACAACCTTTCTCCTGAACCTTCTGGAAGGTTCATGTCAATCCCCTCCTCTCCACCAATCATGGGGTGCCACGGTGGCGAGATGTCGACTACCTCGCCTGGTATACATGAGGTCCTGTGTTCGATCCCGACCCTGACACCTGCTGTATAGTTGGAGTTTGCACGTCTCTCCCCGTAAATCACGGGAGTTCTTCAGGTCCTCCATATTTGGCTGCTATACATGTCGACCATAGCCACTCCCGTTGATGTCATAATTTGCGACAGCCAGGTTCGCTCGCTTGTGAAAGAAAATAGCTACATCTCAGTGGGCCTTAACCTGGTAAAATAAAAAAAAAGTTTAATTTAAGGTCCCTTGCGCTGCCTCTAATCGTCCCCACTTGTTTTCCTTTCCAGCCCGTACCCTCTCCGATCCCACGCCCCCCCCCCCCCGGCTGTGCCCCCAGCCTTCATCATCAATTATTTACACACGCGACCCTTTTACCGTCAAAAATCTGAATATTTATTTATACTGGAGGAATCAGATGAGCTATTAAGCGCTCCCCTCCCCCCCATAGATGTCCAGCAAGAGATCAGAATGTTACAAAGCCATGCAAAATCACAATAGAAGTGCATAGTATAGGGAAGGTCCGCAAGTAACTTTTAAAATATGGACACAAAAACCTAAACTTGTTTATTTTGCCAGGTAAAGCTCACCGAGCTATTAGCTTATTTTGCAGAAGCGACGTGGTCACAAATAGCTCGACGAAATGGCTTGTGGAAACTTGGAACAAAATAATCTAAACGCACGTTTCTAAATGGAGGCGAAAACCAGAGGACCCGGAGGGAAAAAAAATCCTATGCGACCACAGGGAGAAAGATCATGCAAACTCCAAATATACAGGCATCAAGGTTCGGGATCGAACCCCGACCTCCTGCATACCAGGCAAGGATGATAGCGACAATCACTGTGCTTTCCATTTCAGAAAGTATTAAAGTTAAAATTGCATCGAGCACGCCGACATTGAAGATTAGGTTAGTGTAGTCTATTTTTTCCGTTATGCAAGGCTAATTTTAATAATCATTCAAAAAGAATTGATGAAAATCCGCATATTCAGAAAAACCAATACTTGCATGTAGACCCAGGCTACAGTATTTATTGTACACTAGGAAGAGTCGGTTGATTCAAGCGTTGCGCAGTTTTTTTATACAAACGCAGTCACACCTCTACACTTAAACCTCAACTATATTTGGCCACACAGATGGACTCGCTACATGGGTTATTTTAAAACGTATTAAGCAACACACATTGACGTTTCTATTTAAAGTTCAATCTATGTGCATGATCAGTCTTCGGAACATTTGGATTTTACCGAAATAAAGTAAACTAGTAGTAACATTTAAGTGTCATTTTCTGACACTAAAGTCCTAAGCAGCACCACTGTTCATTTAGCACTTTATGCTACAAAAAGTCCGCAATAAAAGCGTTGGGCAGTTCTGTTGATCGATGTTTATGCCTCACGGAAAATTCACATTTTATGGAAGAGTTTACGGGACGATTGCGTCTGGCTTCAAAACTGAGAAAATGCACCGAGTTTACCCCGACCAGAATTTCAACTTACAACCAGATTGTGAATCTTTCCTCGAAATCACAGCACCAGAGCAAAACACTGCTCAATCTGGAACTTTAGCGGCCACTCTAAAATTGTGCCAATTGAGAGTAGCAAGCAAGATAGACGTCTTAAGTACGAGCCAAAGTGGTCAGGCTGTGGTTATTCACAGCCGGTCGCAAAATCCAAAAAGTTACGTAGCACACATGTAGAGCATTTGGCTAAAGAGTTGCCTCGCGTTCAATAAAAGTGTAAGAGATAACGCATGTTCATATTGGTATCACCTACGTAGGATTCGATGCCTGCAATTATAGTTGTTACATGAAATCAATTCTCTTATGCAAGACCACATCACACATCGATATATTGTTAAGCTATTGGCTGTAAACAAACTTTGAATACAAATTGCAATCGCGCTATTACAGGCGATAGGCCACAGTGCAACTACGTAAAAGTGTGCGGTCAAACAATGCCTCACCTAGAGATGGTTACTGGCTTTGGCAGCTCATTTTCAAGCAATCGATAAGCGATTCTAGCGAATTTACTAGGACAATAGCGAGAGACAATATCAATTTGTCGTCTTACACACGCACACACGAGGCACTGGAGCTAAGACCATCTCGTGCCCCTCCCCACTTTCACAGACACCCGCAACTGTGACCAGCGTGGTCAAGTATGGACAAATAACGCTCACGTTATATGCATTTGCCACTTTCTTCACACCGTACGTAGTCAAACTGTGCTAATCGGAGGTCAAAGTGCCCCACGATGTGTCCGTCGGGAGGCTCTCCTCCAGCAGTAGATTGAGCGAAGGGATTGTTTTACCGCTTCTAGTCGGATCAAAGACCAGGAAAACAGGTCGGCACCCGGCACGCCACCAGATGCAGTATTACCGCTCACCAGATGCCCGTGGCTAATCCTAGTCATGTCCACACCAGTCTTCCAGTGAACCCGGAAAATATTCCGGTAATTGATGGCGCGATGATTTTACGCGATAGTAGATTGCGGAGTTCAACACATGCCTTATGAAACCATAAAACAAACGCACCACAAGCCATCGCTTTAAACGTCAACTCAATGTTGCGTAATAACACAGCATTGCACAAGGGATTGTGTTGGCAGTGGTAGACAAGCAGCATCTAAAGGACATCGCACCACGGTCGTCACTCCCACCAATACTCCTTGAGACTCAAAGCCGAAACTATAACGAAAAAATTTGCCGGCTATACAAAAAAAAAGTTATTTTCAAACGTTGCTTGGTAAGGCACATACGACTTGTGGACCAACTAGAACGCACAGATTAACGTGGAGACGACTTGCATCGGTACGCATGTATTATTTACCACGGCATTCAACAGACGCATATCCCAAATGTCACGTTTCAGTTAATAACGCGTCTTTCAGCATTAGGATGCGCACGATGGTTTTGGACCGACTTACCAGAAGAACGCATTGGCATTAGACATCGTAT